GCTGTTTGGCCTTCCAAAATTCTCAAAATTTTCGCGGAAGAATTTGGAACGGAGAAATTTGGAGGTATTATTGGAGGAAAAGTTGAGGGAAATTAGTTTATAGTGCGATTTTATCAAAGGACCTGGTGATTAGCCTTCTTTATCCCTCTAAATCCATTAGATCTGCCTTAATCATATGATATCATTGCCTTCCAATTGAAGGGATGTGAATAGATATCAGGTGATATAGGTGGTTGAGGTCTTTCTCCATACTCTCTCTTAATGTTCCCAACAAATACTTGAATCTCTCGATATCTCTTTAAATCCCTGATATCACTATTGCACAGAGAAGATCAGAGTGGATTTGGAGGGATTAAATAAAAATTAAATTAAATAAAAATTAAATCAGCATCAAAGTGGATTAGGAGGGATTAAGGGGGATTAGATGAGGAATACATACAGGCGGTATAAAAAATTTGAGGAGGCTATCGGGAGATCTTAAACTCCAAAATCTCCTAATATCCCACAATTATTCTCTAGCCTCTCAAATCCCTTTAGCCCTACGTAATCCGCTTTATGTTTTAATTTATTGTAATTTACATTTCTTTTATTGATTTATTTTACTGATTTATTAAATTCTTCTATTTATAAATCAGATTTTTCAATAAATAACTACTCCCATAACTTTTTAAAATTTTTAAATGAATTTAAAATTTTTTTTAAATTTCCCGGTTTCCCGGTCCGGGACCCGGTCATTTTTGACCGGGATGAAACCGGGAACGGGAATTCCCGGTTTTCCCGGTCCGGGTCCCTCCCGGTCATCCTTCAGAACCCGTTTCCCGGAACCCGGACCCGGTTTTTTCAAAATTCCGATCTCTATTTAAAACACCGCGCGGCCATAACAACTCAAAGCCATAACTTACTTCAAGATTTACAAATCTTTACAAATTTAGTATTAAACGATTCATCTCATCGAGTTAAAGAGATTGCCCTTTAAAATTGATAAGGGCCATAAATCTTTGGGCCCGAAAATATTATGGCTGTTTTGGGCTGATCCACCTTTTTTAAATATTTTATTATTCTTCAGATATTTTAGTTTATATTTCACTTTTCTACTTCTAATTTATTTCAAAAATGAATGAGCGTGTCAAAGTTCAATGTGAAATTTGTAATATGGTTCTTCCTTATGCCAGAGTTTGTTTTAAATTGAATTCATGTTAAAAAAATTTATTTCTGTCAGATGCCCATTCATCTCAAAGAATGCAGAACAATTCGAACTTTTCCGTGCAGTCTCTGTCCACGATTCTTCCAGTCACAAGCAGGTGTGAATAGACATCAAGGTCAAGTGCATTCAGCGGATGAACGAGGAACTGCTTTTCGTTGCCAGTTTGTTTTTTTGATTTTTTTGTTATAGTTTCATTCTTTCCTATATGGCTTTTTTAGTCTACTATCTTTTCGGTACAATCTTAGGTAATAAAAATAATGGGGGAGGGGTGCTGACTGTTAGTTGCTACAAGTAAAACATTTAAAAGAAAGGAAGAAAAGTCCGCAAAAACAGTCCGCAGAAAGAGCCCCACAATCTTCAGTCAGGCCCGTAGCCAGGGGGGGGGGTGAGGGGGGGAATTCCCCCCCCCCCCCCGAAATGGGAAAAAGGAAAAAATTTGGGGAAGGGCTGGGGCAAAAAAAGTGAATTTTTTTGGCCTACGGCCTCTGAAATTTAAAAAATTTTCGCCTGCGGCGCTAAAAAGGAAGAAATCTGGCTTCTTGAGGTCCAAAATTCAAAAAATTTTCGCCTGCGGCGCTGAAAATCAAATTTTTGGCGCCTGCGGCGCCGAAAAAGTGAATTTTTTTGGCCTACGGCCTTCTAAAATTCTCAAAATTTTCGCCTGCGGCGCTGAAAATAAAAATTTTTGGCGCCTTCGGCGCCAAAAATTTGGCGCAAAAAATTTCCCCCCCTCGAAAAAAAATCCTGGCTACGGGCCTGTCTTCAGTAGTACCCATTTCTTAATATTTTGAGGAAGGAAAAAAGAGAGTATACGAAATTCAATTTTGCCTTGAAATGTTTTGGCTATGAAACTCTAAATTTTTTTTAGTCATTCTGATTGTAACTTTGGCACAAACAATGAACAATCTCTTAAAAACCATTTGAATTTGCACATTACCGGATTTCGCCGTTCTCTTTCGCGTTCTCGTTCACGCTCTCATTCGCGTCAACCCGGTGGGAATCAATATTCTCGACCTGAGCCTGAACCAATGGATCAACAACAGACGGAACAACCACAACACGAGAATCAACAACAACCTTTAATGGAGGAAGTGCAAAATCTTGTTATGGGACAAAATGATGTGCCGTTACAAAATGATGTTCCGAAGGTTTTTTTTCTTTATTTTTATTTAATTTTAACTTAGCTTTGGTATTTGTGAGATAACCTAGACAAATTTAAATAAGGCAAAAGACGGGGAAAAGTCCGATAAAAATAATACCAACGGTCTAGAATAATTTGAAATTACTTTTAAATTAAAGGTTGGTGCTAGAGCTACTCCATTTCATATGGATAATAATATTGAACAATCTCGTGAGGATTTGGCTGAAGAGGTTGTTTTTTATATTTTAATGAAAGATCCTTTACTTTTGTCCAAATATGGATATTTTAGAAATTAAGAATTTTGTTTCTCTCATATTTCATAAACTGGCCATTAAGAATCAAAAAAAAATTTTAATTTTAAGGCTCCAGCTTGTTCTGCAGCATCTGGAACTGAACCTCCTCTTGGTATTTACGATCTCCGTCTTATTGATCCAACTAGAGCTCGATTGATTATGGCCGAAGAACAAAGGGATTTGGATGATATTGTTCGGGTTGGTTTTTTAAATTTTTTTTCAATTTGTTTTGTTTTTAAGAATTTGAGAGAGAACAACCATCAATTACGTCGATATTGTGAGAATCATGGTATTGGTATACTTGAACACGATGTTATCGGAGAACAAATTGAAGGTTTATTTAAAGGATCTTTTGATCTAATTTAAGCTATTTTTCAATCTTTTCGGTCATTTTATTCTCGATTATCTCTAAATTCTGTTAATTTGTTATTCTCTAAAATTAGGCTAATGTCGTTCTCTCTTTAATTTAAAAACTAAATTGGTAATAGTTAAGTTTGTGTTGTGCCTTTTTTTAATAATGTACATAATGGTCAGACTTCCGAATTTTGGGAAATAAGAAAAGACGGCTGGCCCGTTGCCAGAGGGGTAGGGGGAAAAGTGAATTTTTTTGGCCTCCTAGAAAAAAAATTGTGAATTTTTTTTGAAAAGTGAATTTTTTTGGCCTCCTTTTTGGCGCCTTCGGCGCCAAAAATTTGGCGCAGAACATTTTCCCCTTGCCTCCCCCCCCCCCCTTCCCGAAAAAATCGTAGCTACGGGCCTGAAAGACGGGTTAACAAAACTTAACTATTACCACTACATTTTTGTAAATATTTCTTAAAATTATTTTTTCATTTTCAGCTTATATGCGTATCTTTTCTGTTTCTGATTAGCAAAAATGATGTTAAATGGCTAAATGATGGACTTATTTTTGAAGTGCCTGGTGATAATTTATTTGATAATTTATTTTTGATTCAAAAATTCATTCGAATCTCCTTATATTTTTAGAGCTATATGTAAAATGTTGCAGGTTCTTCATTTATTTATTTGTTAACTTAATAATTGTTTTAAAAAATTTTGGATTGAGAATCATTTCCTTGAAAAATATTCCATTTTCTTAATTGTTTCAACCAAAAATAATTAAATTTATTCCTCACTGAAAAGTTTTGTATCCATAGACATTCAATTAACTAAATATAATTAAAGTTTAGCTTTTTTAGATTTTAAGGTACTTATGGAGGTTGTATCCGCTGAAAAATTCTACTTCCCCTTAAGATTTACAAAATAGTCAACTTTCTCCTTCATCAATTTACTCGATTTTTCTGATGCATTTCAAGAGTGCCTTAATTATTTCCAAAAATAAATATCCCACTAATTATATTCTATAAATATGTTCTTCCTTCTTCTTCAAACATTCTGATCAAATCGTGCATTTTCTGCTTACATTAATCCATTTTAGAACTATTCTAGTCATATTGTCTTGATTCCTATTTCTCAAGAGGAAAACTGCATATTCTGATTCATTTTAAATCGTGAAACAAGAAACATCAGAATATGCAGTTTTCCTCTTGAGAAATAGGAATCAAGACAATATGACTAGAATAGTTCTAAAATGGATTAATGTAAGCAGAAAATGCACGATTTGATCAGAATGTTTGAAGAAGAAGGAAGAACATATTTATAGAATATAATTAGTGGGATATTTATTTTTGGTAATAATTAAGGCTCTCTTGAAATGCATCAGAAAAATCGAGTAAATTGATGAAGGAGAAAGTTGACTATTTTATACATCTTAAGGGGAAGTAGAATTTTTCAGCGGATACAACCTCCATAAGTACGTTAAAATCTAAAAAAGCTAAACTTTAATTATATTTAGTTAATTGAATGTCTATGGATACAAAACTTTTCAGTGAGGAATAAATTTAATTATTTTTGGTTGAAACAATCAAGAAAATGGAATATTTTTCAAGAAAATGATTCTCAATCTGATTTTTTTTCGATTTTCAAATAAAAATGATTTATTTTTTTATTTTCGTATTTTAATTTATATTTTAATTTCTTATTGATTCATTTTGGTTGTTGATTCATTTTTTATCGTATCCTTCGATTAAAAATTTTTTAGGATTTTTTTCAATATCCTTTAAAAAATGAATTTAATTCATGTTGAATCAATTAATGAAAGTGCTGATATTCCACTTGAATTTAGCAATAATTTGGATGAAACTGGACAAAGTCGGGAACAAGAAAGTTTGTTTTTTAAACATTTTTCGAATAAAATTTCTTTTTAGAAAGCCCCTACCTTCCTTATGATCCAGACAAATTTTCTCTAGCACATTTTTATCGTCCACAAAATGATGTTGTTGCTTCCTGGATTGTGCAAGCGGGGATGGAAGGAATTGACAGATATGAAATTTCTTCTCGTTTGGGAATTGATGCTGACACAAAACCTGGGAATAGACTTGTCTCTACTTCAATACACAGCACTGTGAGAAATCGAGAAAAATATTTTGGAGAATTTCAAAAGACGGAAGGACGTTTTAGAGTCAAAAAGTTGTTAAAATTTTATAAATTTTGTTCATTTTTAATTTTAGATATTTTTTTAAATGTGCCCAAAATGAGGCTGGAGGTGAATTATATGTTAAATATAGCCAACGTTTCAAGGAATTGACTGGCGTGGATTGCCCTTTTCGGTTTGGCGATTTACTGAAATTTCCTGGATACAATTTAAGTAATTTTCAATTTTTTCTTGTAAACCTTTGAAGCTCTACTTGAAAATATTTCACTCCTGAAAATTATAAAAATGGCGAGATTTTATTTTTTGAAGGTTCCTGGCCTATTTCCGACTAAATTAAGTTTTTTAAGTATGGGTATTATATTTATCTTAGTTTTTACAAGAACTAGTCGGCGTTGGGCTCCAAGAGTGGAAACCCACCCTTGGGGTATGCCGGTTCACCAATTAAAACGAAGGCCTTCTTTTTAACTTTTTATTTAACAAATATATTTAATTAGGGTTGCCGTTTTCGAGTCGGGCCGACGGTCGAGGCATTTTTTTTCGGGCTTGTTTTTATCGAGTCGGGCCGGTACGAGTCTTTTTCGGGCCTGTTTTTATCGAGTCGGGCCGATACGAGTCTTTTTCGGGCCTAACTTTATCGAGTCGGGCCGGTACGAGTCACTTTCGGGCCTGACTTTATCGAGTCGGGCATCGAGACATTTTCGAGTCTTTTTTTAAAAGATTTATTTAAAAATAATTAGTGGATTTGGAGGGATATCTGTGAATTAAAAGGTATATCGATGGATCTGGAGGGTAAAGGAAGGGCTGAAGAGAATTGAAATGGATATCAGTGGATTTGAGGGATTAAGGTGATTTAAATTATCGGAGGATTGGTGTGAGATATTGCTAGTTTGGTTTTATTAAAGGAGATCAGATGATTAAGGGGATCAGGATCGCGTTAATCATATTGTGCGTTAATCACCAAATCCCTTGATAAAATCCCAGTGTACCATGATTGGTCTATTCGTATTTAGATAAGGGCTTACTGGAAAGTCAGGAAACCAGATTTCTTCTATTTTTAGCGCCGCAGGCGAAAATTTTGAGAATTTTGGACCCCTGGACTGATTGAGTTTAAAAAAAAGGACTGATTGAGTTTAAAAAGTTCAAATGATGATGGGATCCCGCGGAATATATCCTATAAATCCCAGTAATCCAGCTTATCGATTAAAGCCAGTAAGTTCGAGATGTGAAGCAAAGTATGGAGCTAAAAATTTTTCATTTCAGCGCCGCAGGCAAAAATTTTGAGATATTCGGAAGGCTAAGGACCAAATTTCTTCCTTTTTCACCGCCGCAGGCGAAAATTTTTCGAATTTTGGAAGGCCAAGGAGCCAGATTTCTCATATTTTTGTCCACAAATCTTGTAAAAATATTATCGAGTCTTGTTCGAGTCGGGCCGACTTTTTCCGAGACAATTTTTTTCGGGCCTGTTTTTATCGAGTCGGGCCGGTACGAGTCACTTTCGGGCCTAACTTTATCGAGTCGGGCCGTTACGAGTCTTTTTCGGGCCAAACTTTATCGAGTCGGGCCGGTACGAGACTTTTTCGGGCCAAACATCGAGGCATGACTCGATCTTTCGGTCCGAGTCGGTCCATTTTGGCAACCCTATATTTAATAAATAAAAAGGAAAGAAAACAGGCCAACTTTTGATCGTGTCCAAAACTTGTATGAATTAATTAATTTGGCCTGTTTCTTTCGCCTTTTATGAGGTGCTAAAAATAGGCGTTTCAATATTATCTAACCATGGCAATGAGTAAAACCCAAGAAAAATTTGGATTCTGCTGTTTTACATTATTTCTGTTTGTTGTTTAGCATTTGCTACTGTCCAAATTTTTCGAATTAAATTAATTTCCAATTTCCCTGGGAATTATTTTGAAAGTTTCTTAAAATTGTCTAATTTTTAAATTCATTATTTAGACACACTTCGCATTACTGACATTACTTTAAAAAGATTAATTCAAATTCTTGAATATTTAAAAGATGTAAAAGCTGTATTAACCAATATACGTCTACAAACATATATTACTTTTCTTGAACAAAATGAGGGATATCAATTTTCGGTTTTGGATTTTTTTAAATTAAAAAAAAATTTTTTCTTGTTTTTAGATTGACAGAAAATCTATTAAAAAATTACTTTTGGCTTTGTTGCAAAAAAAGTTTATAAATATTTTGAAATTGGAAGTTCTTGAAAATGGAATTGCTCAAACGGTTTATTTTTTATATTTATTCCCATTAGGTTGGATATACTTGAGATATTTGAATTAGGGTTGCCGGCCCGGTTCAGTTTTCGATTTTTGGCTCGAATTGGGAACCCAATTGTCAAAAGAATTTTTCGGTCTAAATTTTCTTTTTTAGATTGATGTCATCACAATTCCAGAAATTACTTCGATTGGAGATGTTCATGTTTCTGAAGTTTTAGAAAAAACAATGGCTGAGTTTAAAGAGCAAAATAAAAGTTTTCCTTCTGGGCATCAATTAAAAAGAGAACGTCCAGTTGTTGAACCAAAAGTTGTGGTACAGGTTGAGGAAGATAGTCCACTTAAAAAGGAACAGGTTTGTAGTGGTTTTTTGAACTTCAGTCAGATTGATAATTCTGAAAGATAGGCCCCCTCCCAATATATGCAAATTTAGCATAATGAGCTGGCCGTTCAGAAAATTTTATTTTTTGAAATTGATTTTTCCTGGCTAGCTTCACTTTAAGTGTCTTTTCTTGTAATCTAATTTTTTAATTAAAGAGTCATGATGTTGTTATGATTGAGGAACAAGAACAAACATCCTCAACTCCCCCTATTAGTGGTTCTTTGCTACACAAAACATTTTCAACTGTTGAACGTCTTCAAGCATACCAGTTTATTTTCTTAAAAATTAATCTTTTTTGATAAAAAATTTAAAGTAAATATGGAAAGAAAGGTGCCAATCCATATTCAATACTTTCTTCTAAAACAATAAATAATTTGGTTGAATCAGCCAAGCAAAGAAGAATAAGTTTCTAATTTTCTTTTCTTTTTAGAAATTAAAAATTCTCGTTTAAAGGCAAAATAGTCCACAAACGAAACCCAAAGAAAAGTGTCAAAATTGAAATACCAAAAGATGCAGAAGAAACTGGAAGTACTTCAGTTGATGATAGTAGTTCTCCAACAAAAAGTATTCAAAGCAAAACTGAACCTACAAAAAGACATTATTCACAAAATGCTCGGTTAATGGATAATGTTGACAGAATTAGTCTTCAACACAAATCTTATTTGCGAAGTAGATTTTCACAGAGAGAACGTGATATGGTTAGTTTTGTGTTTTTTTTCATACGTTTCCTCTCTGATATTCTTGTGTATTATTAAGGCTACTCATTTACCCTTTAATTCAGCCTCTAACGTTAAACTTTGAACGGCCATAACTTGGCCCAAAGTGATTTTGATAGAAAACGGATATCACAACACAATAGAAAGTCGGGGGTCCTCTATCGATTGGTACCAAAAAATTACCAAATTTTTGTACACAGTATCCGATGTTTCCTTGTAAGATTCCCTTTTAATTTGTTCACAACATAATACCTTTACTAATTTATATTTTATTCTAGTTACTTCTCATCCGTGCCAGCAGTTTTTTCTTAAATCCAGTCTCAAAATTTTGGCCACATCCAAAAGTTATGCGCAATCTTATGCATGAATTTGTTCCAGTAATTAATTTTTTTGGAATTTTTTTATCCAAAAATTTTCCCCCTTTCTTTAAAGGAATCTCGTACAAAAACAACTTATTCTCTTATGGCTGCCGGTGTCAGAGAATTAAAAGACAGACAAGATCAGCACCAATATATTGTTAAAACATTGGCTAGTTTTAAAGATTTGCTGAATTTGAGGAATCGTTTGGTCGTAATGAATTTGTCTAAAGAACCTATCAAAGAGGGGGATGATTTAAAACCCAAAGATTTATTTTTTATTGATGCTTTTCGAACTGCTTATAAATTGTTATTTAGGTGAGTTTTAAAATTTAAATACTAGTAACAAGTATGAACATTCTCTGCATTTTTTCCCTGAATATTTTAGTTGAACTCAAACAGATTTCTATGTTTTTCTTGATCGATCTCATAAAAGAATGAAAAAATCGTTAATTTATCTAGGAAGAATTGTATCTCGATTAAGTTCATTCCTCCGATTTTCTTGGTGTTTTTGACTTACAAGGAAACCTTCCGAACTCTGAGTAAAAATTTTTTGATATGGCCTATGATATGCAACACAGTAGTAGATTGCGGTTAAGCATATGCTCTGCACGATGGTATAACTTTTATCAAAAAATTCTTGCTCACAGTTCGGAAGGTTTCCTTGTTAGCAGAATCGGCCTTGTTAATATTTTCCCTTTTTGACTAACTTCATCTTTAAATTAAGGTCTGAAATATTTTTTTACTTTTTAGAGAATCAGATGATTGTCCATCTATTTATGCTAGTGATCAAGAATTTCGAAATCATTTGAATAAAAATAAACTTCACTTTATTCAAGTAGCATCAGACGATAAAACAGCTTATGCCCCAACTCGTTCTCACCCACCTAAAAGTGCTGAAGAGATTAAAGAACGTGTGGCATTTAATGCTGTTATGGTTAATTTTTAAAATATCTTTAAAAATATTTTAAATTTTCTAGTCGGCTCTGTTAAGTGAAAATGTAACTGAAAAAACTTTTGAAGGACAAAAAACGCAAATAGAACCTTCAACAAGTGATATTGGAGGAAACTATTTATCTAGTGGAGGAGTAGAATTTACAAATTTTCTTCTTCATCAAATTGAACCTTCGGTTATTTATTTTTAATTTTAAATTTAATTTGATTGGAAAAGCTAGATTGGAAGAGCTATAAGGATCACATATTTAAGTACTAGTAACCAAGGGCTTAGCCATGAGAGGGCTTCTGGGGCTATAGCCCCTCTGAAATCGAACTCTTGATTACACCTCTGCTAGTAACAAAGTACTAGTTTTTCAGCCCACTTTTTTAGTTCTTTCGAAGAAATATTTAGGGAGAAGCTGGATCATTCATTGCTAAGATCTCCTATTTAACCAGAAAAGTTAGAGAAACGATTGCAAAAAATTGGGATTTTTTAATATTGCATTACTAAAAATTCTAGTCGTTCCTAAAACATTCAAAATAAATTATTTAATTATTTTTTATAGATATTATCTAATACAATAGAAAATATTCGCAGTGATGGTTTAATCACAAAAAATCGTATATTTGGTTCTAAAGCAACGGGAACAGAAGACAAACAATCAAAAGATTTGGGAGAAAGTGGAGTTGAGCAATCACCTCAAAAATCTGTCGAAACTCAAGAGACTTCTTACAGTGCAAGAAAATCTGTTCGACTCACACAATTGTAAATAAATTTAAATTTTATTTGTTGATTATGGGCGAAATTTTTTTTTGAAAATTGGGAGTGCTCTGGAAATAAACCTTTATTAAATTTAAAAATTTCCATTAATTTTTATAAAATCTCATCATTTTTTAAAGTTATCATCATTATTTTGAATCAACTTTACATACAAATTTAAAGAAAAATATTTTGGATACAACAACAAAATTTATTGAAAATAAACCAAACAAGAAAAATGATTTTGGAGAATTCGAAAATCCTGGGGAATTTATTATTTTGGCTAATTTAGCTTGTGATTCTAGACCGGTTTGTTTTTTTGTTTGATAAAATAAAAATTAATTTTTAAAGTTAAATATTGATATGACTATTCCAGAATCATTTGATGCACTATTTAAATTAAATAAAAGTAGTGATGGACCTTCAACTTCCAACACGGTGAAAGAAGAAGAAACACATGTAAGGAAATATTAATTATTTTAAAAAAGGAAGGTTATGTGTTAACTAGGTGATGTGGTAGTAAGAGCGAGGTAGAAGTTTAATCCCGGGCAGGCTTCGATCCTGCGACCTCCTGGCAGTTATTGCTGAGTTACCGGGACGCTGCTTTCACCTTCTCTTTTAATAGAGAAGGTGGAAGCTCCTCCTAGTGAGCGTTTTAAATGCTAGCCAGCTGGATCTTTCTCTTCCTTACATCATGCAGTGGATCAGTTTTTTGTTCCTTTAGGGTTGTAACGTCGGTTTAACTTCATTTATGCTTGAAAACTGGGGAAAATATAATATTTTTTAATTTTTTCCCTCTTGGAGCATTAACAATTCAATTTTTCAGTTCAAAATAAACGCCACAAAACAATTACGTTATCTAGAAGACAGTGAATTATGTATTGAACGACTTAAAATTCGTCCAACAACATTAAATGAATCAATTTTGTCTACAATACGTGGAATGCCGCAATTTGAAGATTTGTTGCCTTTTGAAAAATTTATTCCGGCAGAAAAAATGAATTTAATAGAAAATTCGGAAAGTAATGTGACAGAAGAATTAGACAAAAACTTTTCTGAAGAAGTTCAAAAACTTTATAAATTAATTGATAATTCGGGAATTCTGGGTATTTCTGAAGAGGAATTGAAGGTTTTTTGATTTTTTAAATAATTTTTTTATTTCAATTTAGGCATCAATTAATCCCCAAAATTTGGATGAATTTAATATTAATTTAAATATTTTAATAAAAGAAACTTTAATTTTTCCCTGTGGTGTTGAAAAAAGATTTTTTGTAAGCACAAGGAATGGACGTGCATGGCTTTTAAAAACTAAAGAAGGAAATGGATTTGTTGCTAAACCTTGGTTGCTACCTTCAGGAGAGATAAATTGGAAGGTGTTAAGGTATTTAAATTTGTTTTTTTTTAAAGATTATTTGATATAATTTAAATGGGGAATTTTTGTAATTTATAAGTGGGGAAGAAAAAGGATTTTTCTTTTAAAACAAAAAGAAATAAATTTGAATTTATTTAAAATGTTCCCCAATATAATTCTCATTATCGTTAAAAAATCCTTTTTTCGACGTTGAAAAGTCACTGTTAAAAATCCATTGGGTAAATTCACCTGATTTTTATTCGTCTTTATTTTTCTGTAAAATACAAACACTCTAAATATATGTAAAATAATATTTTACATTTCTTCAATTAAAAAATTAATTTTATTTTTAGACGAGTTTTGGAAGGTATATTTTGGCATATTTATGCAAACCCTGGAATTTTAATTGATGATTTAACTTCTCGTTTTGTTTACGTATTACAACCTGTTTTGTTACATGGACTTGTTGAAATGTTGGAAAAACTTGGATGTTGTAAAATTATTACAAAAACATTACATTCACAACGAAAATCTTCCCCATTTTCAAGTTTTTTTAGTAAAATAAAATTTTTAAAAATTATTTTAAGGCGCAAAAACTCCACAAAAGATACAATTTGTCCAGCCTAGCCCTAATGGAATGGAAAGACTTATTTTATTTAAAAATGGAATTTCTAGTGAATAATTGAGTAGAGATCGGACCGAGAAGATCCCGAACAAAAGTCTTGATTTTCGAGATACCTCTTTCAACACTACCAGTCCGATCTCTAGTTGAGATATTTTTTGATCAAATTATTACTAAAAACCCCATTGAATAATATTTTTTGAGAATAACTAAATTTCATTTTAAAAATAAATATTTTACAAAAATTATTTTTTAATTTTATTTATTTTTAAAGCTTTTCAAATAGGCAAAAATTTAAATTAAATATAAGGTCAAAAATGGTTGCACGTAACTTCCTTTAAAATATATTTCCCGAAAAACAAAAAATAAAATTGATAGAAAAAAATAATTGTGCCGTCTTTTAAATATTTTCACAAAAATTATCAAAAATATTCGGTGCGGACACAATTAGTGAGCCTTTTTCAAGAGAATTTTTCATCCACGACTTTTAGTAACCGAATAAAAAATTTTAAAATTTTAGAGGCTGTTAAAGAATATTTTAAAATACACATGTACAAAAAAAAAGAGGCAAATCTAGAGAAATTTAGATCCCGAAACTTAATTAAAAAGGCTCACTAATTATGTCCGCACCTAATAACTTCTATAAAATTAAAAAAAATTATTTTTAAGCGGCACAATTTTTATTTAAAATATTTATATATCCCTTATGTTATAAAATAAAAATTCCTTCCTTTTTATCTCGTTGCTGGAATTCGACCAAGAATTGTTTTAACCATAGCTGCAGCATTTGCAGAAGCATAATGCTGAAATAAATATTTAGTGGAAAATTAAAAAGAAAAAAATTCTTTGAATTACCTGCCAAAGCTTTCCAATTTTTGTAGCACCTTGTTGGTAATCAGCCACTCCACGTATTAGCACCCAAGAATCTACCCTTGAACCTTCAATTGCAGCAATAACAGAGTCAAAACCAGCATCATAGGCACGAACATGATATTCGGAAATAAATCTAAATAAATTTTTAGAAATTATTTTAGAAAAGGTTTGGGAACGAATTTAAAGGAAGAAATAAAAATTTACTAAAGAGTTATCCCGGTAAATGCCCAGCTCGAAGGACACAAGTTTTTGCGCCAAATTGTCAACCTATTCTGATTATCTTGGGAAAATTTAGTGAGATGGGGAAAGTAGCTGAATGCAGAAAAATTTAAAGGAAGTAATTTAAAATTTTTGCAGAATGCCTTCTGCGGACATGTGTCCCTCGAGCTGGATATTTATTGAGTCACCCCTAGACTTATGGAAAAACTACATTTTAATAAACTCTGGACATCCTCCCTCTTAATTATTCAAAAGCTATTTTGATGATTAATAAGATCAAAAATAAAATTTAGAAAAGGGTGACAGATGACGAGAGAATAAGGACTTTTTTCCTATCCATTTCACCATAATTTCTTACAATTAGAAAATTAAAAAAAAAATAATTTCCTTAAAATCCCAATTTTTTACCTTTCCCTCAATTGTTGATTAACTTGGGCATTAACCAATCCAGCACTTTCTTCACTATTATTACTAATATTTAATTGATTAACATCTCCTCCCTTTCCCTCAACATTTTCTTTTTCAGAATTTGTTCCATTTTGACCATTTTTAGTTGGGCTATTTTGACGTTTAGCAGATTTTAAAGGAGAGCTTTGATTTGGAGAAGAAACTTCATTTTCTGATTTTGGAGGCTTTTGTGCTAATGTAAACTTGAAAAAGAGGCATTTTAAAATTAAAAATTTTTTCAAAAAAACCATAGATCCAACAGGCCCCAAATGAAAAAGAGGGTCAATTCTGCTTGCATTTGGATGGGGAAAAACAACAATATTTCCTTCAGCAGTTAACATTGTCAAAACGTCCGTTTCATGGTGAGGACGAGAAAAATCAAGTTGTTGATCTTTATGTTCTTCGTTTAAACGAGAAATTAATTCTTTTGAATTTGAATGCCAATCTTTTAATAAATCTTGCTTTTGCCTGAAAAAATTTTAAAATGATAAAAAGAATCATTTTAATTTTAGGAAAGCAAAATAATTAAAATAGAAGGCCATCAATGGGATTCAAACATCTGCAAGGCCTGAGAAAAGAAACTTGTAATGTTCTCCCCGTGTCTGGTATTTCGCCAATATGTCAGTGAGTTAAATAGGCAGTGTTTAGGCAGTAAACAATATGAGCAGTAAGTGATTTGGGCAGAAAAAAAATTTGAGTAACATTAGGAAAATAATTATGGGTGACTTGGGCAGTAACTCATTTTTTACATATTTTTATGTTTTTTTTAAATATAGGCTACTGCCCAAATTACCCATAATTATTTTTCTAATGCTATGGGGGAAAATGTGAACATAAAGTACCCAACGGAAATAGTGTGAAAAAAGTGCCGGTCTTGCAAATTTTGCTTAGGATTGGGTCAAAAAAGTCCCTGCTACCCAATAATTTTAAATAAATTTTTAAAAAATTAACCCATTTCTAACAGTCCTAGCCAAAACATTGTCTTTAGGCAGCCAATCTCTAACTACCAAACCCTCAATTTCTCCAGTTTTCCAATTACAATTAATATTGTGTGCATATACATAAGAACCTATTTGACGTTTATTGCTATCATCTATTCCAGAATCGCTTATAACAACATCTCCAAGTCGAATATGCTTTAGAAAATGGAAAAGTTAAAAATTAAGTATACTAGAAAAACAAATTTATCGGTGCCGACAAAAATTTGTTAATTAATCGTTTCACCTTTTAAGAAATTGGGATAAAAGAATGCGCCAAAATTCGTTAGAGGCTAACTTAAAAAATAAAAGTTCCCTTATATGCTCCTTTTAAACACAACAGAAAAGTAATGATCAGACATGAGAGAGGTATTCACCACCTGGGACCAGCGCAATGCATTGATTTGTGTTTTGATTTTTGCATTCTTTGAAATTGGCTTTTACGCCGCTTGTCCATGAGGGGGGGGGAGTGAATCCGGGACTGAAAAAAAACCCAAGGATTTCCTAAGATTCGCCAACCCAACCCTCCCCTATTCCTTATTAACTTAATTAAAAAAATAAAATAAACCATTTCCGGGTCAGTATAATGAGGCACTCCTCCACCTATTCCAACAATTATAACATGTTCGACATGTTGAAATGCTCCCAATAAACGTGTTGTAATTGAACCAGCAGATGTTGCAGCCATTCTATCTCCTCCAATCATCGAAAGCTTTAAAAGATTTGGTAAATGCGGCACGTTTTATCTCGCCAAAAGCTTGTCTTGCCAAACCCCCAAAAGCTGTTGACTCGCCAAACCGTGGAAAAAAGCTTGTCTTGCCAAACCCCCAAAAGCTGTTGACTCGCCAAACCGTGGAAAAAAGCTTGTTTCGCCAAACCCCCAAAAGCTGTTGAATTGCCAAACCGTGGAAAAAAGCTTGTCTTGCCAAACACCCAAAAGCTGTTGAATTGCCAAACCGTGGAAAAAAGCTTGTCTTGCCAAACACCCAAAAGCTGTTGAATTGCCAAACTGTAGAAAAATTTTATAAAACTCCTCTTTGTGTATAATATAATCCTCCTCCAAAATCCTTCATAATACAAAGTGTGGAAACCTCTCACATAATGCCTACCAAGGGCGTAGCCAAGGGGGGGGCTTCTGGGGCTAAAGCCCCCCCCCCCGAAATGGGGAAAAGGGAAAAATTTGGGGAAGGCGTTGGGGAAAAAAGTGAATTTTTTTGGCCTACGGCCTTCGAATTTTAAAAAATTTTCGCCTGCGGCGCTGAAAAAGGAAGAAATCTGGCCTTTTGAGCTCCAGAATTCAAAAAATTTTCGCCTGCGGCGCTGAAAAAGTGAATTTTTTTGGCCTACGGCCTTCTAAAATTCAAAAAATTTTCGCCTGCGGCGCAGAAAAGATGAAAATTTATGAACAAACAAATTTGCGGCAATCCCGGAGAATTGGGGTTTCTTCGAAAAAAAAGTTTAAAAATAAGAAAAAGGGTTTTTCTAGGGTAAAAAAATACGCTGATTACGAATCTGAACTCGGATTTTGAAAAAGTCGAATCCCGAACCCGAATTCGGAATTTGACCCCGGACATTGTCGGACATTGTACAAAATGGTCAGTCTTCCATATGGAGGTAGAACTCATCGAGATGCATCGAATGACACCAAAATCGATGAAATCCGACATGATTGCACCGAGATACAGACCCCGGAATATTGAAAAACCATAGGGGTGATTTTTTGGAGTAAAAAAAGTTTATGCAAATAATAGCTCATTCGAAAGAGCTCGTCGTGCTGAGTCGCATGACACCAAAATTACAGTGATTGATAAAGTTTAGACAAAGTTATAACATAAGTCGCCGACTCTTACAGTACTCCCAGAGGTTTACTTTATGTCATAACTTTGTCAAAACATGTCCGATCGCGTTGGTTTTGGTATCATTCGATGCAGCTCGACGAGCTCTTTCGAATGAGCTATCATTTGCCTATTCGAAATCCGGGTTCAGGGTTCGAAATTTGGTTCGGGTTCGGGATTCGACTTTTTCAAAATCCGAGTTCAGATTCGTAATCAGCGTATTTTTTTACCCTAGAAAAATCCTTTTTCTTATTTTTAAACTTTTTTTTCGAAGAAACCCCAATTCTCCGGGATTGCCAAATTTGCGTCCGGAACGCCAAGGTAAACGCCAAAAATTTGGCGCCCACTCAGTGTTAGCCCCCCCCCCCCCCGAAATCGACCCCCTGGCTACGCCCTTGATGCCTACGCGGAAAAAAGTTTTTGCCGCTGCGGAGGAAGCCGGGCATGTCGAGCGGAACGACGGCCGCCGCTTCGCTACGGTCGCCGCGAGCGAAGCGAGCACGACCGCAGCGAAGCACGGCCATCGTGTAGCGAAGACCATGCCCGGCCTACCCTCCGTAGCAGCACAAAAACAGTTTTTCCAGCGAAGATTCAGTTGGTTATAATTCGGTTCAGAATCATCCAACCGAGCTGATTTTGGTGTCATTCGACTCAGCTCGTCGAGCACTTTCGAATGAGGTATCCTCTGTATAATCGAATTTTTGAACCCAAAAATCAGCCTGGCACAAAAACAGTTTTTCCAGCGAAGACTAAAAACCAACAGGCTAAAAGCAACAGGTTATTCCACCGCGAGGTAAATAATAAAAAATTCCACAGTTTTATTAACAAATTGAATAATAATAAGTTTTGGTATTTATTTGGCAAAACAAGCTTTTTTCCACGGTTTGGCAATTCAACAGCTTTTGGGGGTTTGGCGAAACAAGCTTTTTTCCACGGTTTGGCGAGTCAACAGCTTTTTGGGGTTTGGCGAAACAAGCTTTTGGCGAGTCAAGCTTTGGCAAGTCAAGCTTTTGGCGAGTCAAGCTTTGGCGAGTCAAGCTTTTGGCGAGATAACACGATACCGGTAAATGTCCAGTTGGCGGTCTACATGTCCGCAAAGAGAATCTGCTCTTTTCTTTCCTTTTCTTGCATTTTTTGCGTTGGGAGAAGTGCTCCGCTGATTTTTCATTTCTGTCATTATAAAAATTACAATGATAAATTCTGAAATATTGGAGATTATTGCTATCTTATAGAAACTTTCTATGGCTTTCTAATAATGATCTAAAAAATTACACCGGTTTATCAAGATATTGATATAAGATATGGGCCCAGTTTTTATATCCATCCTTCCCCTTACAGTTTTTATTATCCGCCCTATATTTTAAATAAATCTATTTGAGTATGTTATCCAAAATCCTTCATTGTAAAATAAATTATTTAAATTAGAGGTATTATTTTTATTTTGCAATTAGGAAAAGGAAATCATATTGTATTGAGAAGGAAAAATGACAGAAAAGGAAAAATGAGCGGAGCACTTCTCCCAACGCAAAAAATGCAAGAAAAGGAAAGAAAAGAGCAGATTCTCTTTGCGGACATATAGACCGCCAACTGGACATTTACCAAAGATTTTATTTAAAAAATTTAATTTAAAAATATACTTTTGTTGCGACAACATTATGCCCAGCGATTTTTCCAATTGTGTAAACATTAGAATCTCCAGTCTTTGAATAACTTAAATTAAAAAAAAATTTTTTTGAAAAATTTCCTTAATCCACAACTTTTATTATACAGTAAATTCACTAATAGTGACACTCTCTAATTCTGACACGCTCTAATTGAAGAACACTCCCTAATATAAGTTCATCTTATGTGAGGATCGACAAATAGAAGCCTATGTGGTTCTAGAATATTAGACCTTTTTGATTTTTTGTAGACAAAATATGGAAAGGCAATTGGGAGGGAAGAAAAGAAAAAGTCTGACCATTCTGTACTATAAATATATAGGAAAGAACTAGAGGAGAAAAAGGGGCCCGGTAACTACACTATTACCGGAATTTCTTTTAAAATCATTGGTTTTTTAATTTATTTTCTTGATTTTGATCAAAAATTAAATTTTTTTGGGTTCTAGTCTAGAATCTGTAAAAGTGAGATAGGAAAATGGAGATATCAACAGATAGGCCCGTAGCCATTATGGGCGCCCTCGGTGCCCAAAATTCGGTGCTTTCCCTCCTTGCTCCTCCCCTTTATTTAAAATATTATTAAAAATACCTATGTTTAGTTGTTCTATTTTCTATAATTGTGTCGACACTTTGTTTCTCTGGGAACAAACAAGTAATAATTGCAACAGTCTGTGGATGTTTATCTTGAATATTGTGTTGAGGTTCAGGTACTTTTAAAAATAATTTTTTAAAATTATTTTTTTCAAAAATCCACAAACTATAAGCCTTTCTAATCCATTCTCCAATTTGATTTGGTAATTGCTCTATATGCCCCTCTTTTTCCAAAATTGAAAGAAAATGGCGAATTTCTTCAACAGAACAACGCAAAGATTCGGCCAAATCCTCTTCTGTTACACTATTTGGATAGGCATGTTCAAGTGCTTCTTTGACGTGGCTAGATGTTAAATTCTCTAATTCACCGTCATTTACTAAAAAAATTTTTTTTAATTTATTAAAAAAATTTTATTATAAAATTATCTTAGAAAGAGAAGAGAAGCCTTGTAAATCGAAAAAAGCGGGAGAAAAAATGTTAAAGAAAATCCGTATTTATTGAGAACCCGTTCGTGACTTAATAAATTCTATGAGATTTACGAGTCATTTTTTGGATTTTTTTATTTTTAGAACAATCATTATTGATTTGATAAGACAAAGTATTTTTAATAGAAAATCTGATTCAATAAACAGAACTCTACCCAAACAAATCGGTTCTACTTGACTTTATGAGTCCAATAAAAAAATCCAATTATTTTTTGATTGGACTCAAAGTCAAGCAGAACCGATATAACTATAACTAAAAATTGAGTAAACTTTCCCACGGGAAAAGCAAAAAAACCAACTAAATTGTTTAGCATTAGGCATCGCCATTTTTTCACTCCCAGCAGCAAACTTCATTTCAACGTCTATGGCACGTAATTGTGGATAGTCTTCCTTCATAAGCCGCAAAAGTAATTTAAAAAAACTAACATAATCTTTAAAAAAGAAAATTTATAGAAAAAATAATTTTAAAATTAAAAAACCTTTAGGAAAATTTCTTTCAAAAATATTTTTAATAAAACGCTGGGAAGTTTCTGCACGTAAAGCCAATTGAATATTGTTGAAGAAACAAAAACGAAAAGAACGGATTTCCTTTAAAATGAAAAAATTGAAATATGAAGGGGAACATTTAAATTCCTCTAACAAGAAAACCTATCGAACTTTTCGAAATGGGGGTCGGAGCCAAAAAAAGCCGGTTACTATAATAGGTTTTCGACATTGCTCTACACGACGGTGCAAAATATTTACGAGATTTTTAGTGACAGTTCGATAGGTTCCCTTGTGAGATGGAAGAATTGGATGATAATTACTATATTAAAATGTTAATTAAAAAAATTAAATTTCCTGCATTCACAAAAAATGAAAGGAAAATAAAGAAAATTCTAAAAAGTTAAAACTCCGAAAATTCTTAAAATTTATAAAAAATATTAAATTTGCAAAAATGTTAAAGGAGTTGAGTTCCAAAATAGGATTTAAAAATATTGAATTTAATGAAAATGAGCAAAACTCAAAAATTCGGGTGAAAAAATTGGGTACTGAAGACTACAAAATAATTTAATTATTTACTTGTTTTAAAGTCTTCCCACCATCACTACTTATCCAAACAGAAAATGAACAAGGGAATTGGGTCGGCAGTTCTACAAAATTAAAAACAAAAATAAATAAAATTTTTCAAAATTTTCAAAAAAAAACCTTCATAATTTTCAACCAATTTATTAATAATAATTCCTTCAAAAGGCCCACTAGCAACAAGACAAACATTTGTTGGGATTTCATGAGTTCTGAAATTAAAAAAAAATTTTATTTAAATTTAAAAATTCTTTATACCTTTCTATTCGAATTAAATTTCGTTCTTTTGATTGAATTAAAGGAATAAAAGTAATTAAACTTGTTATTGACATTATTTTTTAAAGTCTAGTAATTTAATAACTAAAAATAAAAAAAATGTTTTAGAAAGCAAAGGAAATCTCTTTTTTATTAAAACCCATCAAAACCAACAAATAAACCAGCTGTGTACTAATCATATGTGAAAAAGACGGGCAATAAGTAATTAATCCAAAAAGCAATCAATCATCCAAGCAATGGGACGAATAAATAAAAGAGTAATTTAAAATTAACGCCATTCATTTAAAATTAACGCCATTCAAACGCCTTGGCGCAGGCCACCATGGCGCAAATCTTTTTTGAAGTGTGCCCAACGGCAGGGGTTTTCTCTAAAAAAATTAACGAAAAATCGGAGTACAGTAATCTCAAGATCTCTAAATAGTCTCTAAATCTCGACACGGCCAAGCTCAAAATTTGGAATTTTAAATATCGAATCTTAATCTCGACAGAGCTAAAATGTCGACACCGGCAAAAATAGTTAAAATCGACTTTTTAAAAATTCGAATTAAAAATGTGAAAATTCAGTAATAAGTTTTTTCAAACAAAAAATAAACACTTTGTGATACATAGAAAATAGTTTATTGTGAATTTCATAAATTATTAACTTTGAAATTAGATATCTCGGCTAACATTATGTGATCTTAATTAATACACTTAATATAAATCTGACAATGAGTTTACCTAATTTTAGCCGAAAATTTAATTTCAAAGTATATAGCAGAATTCGTAAAAATTTAAAAAAAGAATGGTAAGCATGATAAAATTATAGGTAAAAAAGGGCTAATAGTAGGTCTTTAAAATTAAAAAAAATTTGTGAGGAGATTCAAAAAATATAATAATGTATTCTATTAGAATCGTTCATTGTGAATTAGCCACCGGCCTTCCAAAAAGCCAACAAACAAAAATATTCCATTCTAATCATCATCGGCAAATTCATCATGGACAGTAAAGTTTTTAAAGTAAACTGAAAAATTAAAAATTTTTGAAATTAAATATTTCATGAGTGTTAAGGGCGTGGCTAGAGGTTGGATTTTAGGTGTGGAAGTAGGCATACTTATTAGAGTTCGAACTTTTCAAAATGCCGGGCCCGGGACCCGGTTTTTTTTCTCAGAATCGCACCCGGACCGGTTTTTCCGGATAAAACCGGAAAAACCGGTTAGCCCGGAAAAACCGGATTTTTTCAGACCCGGGCCCGGACCCGGTTTTTTCTAAATTTATTAAAAACATAAAAAAATTATCACACATACAAAGGATCGCAAACATACAAAGGATTAACTTAAATCCGCTGATGGTAATTAATAGGGATATCGAGAGAATTTGATTTAATTCTCCGATATCAATAAAAATACCTTTTCTTCTTTTCAAGCGCCGCAGGCGAAAATTTTGAGAATTTGAAAAGCCAACAAGCCAGATTTCTTTCTTTTTTACCGCCGGAGGCGAAAATTTTGAGAATCTGTGTGGACAAAGAGCTAGATTTCTTCTTTTTCTAGCGCCTCAGGCGAAAATTTTGAGAATTTTGGAAGGCCAGGGAGCAAAATTTCTTCTTTTTTCAGCGCCGCAGGCGAAAATTTTGAGAAATTTAGAAGGCTAAGAGGCCAGATTTCTTCCTTTTTCACCGCCGGAGGCGACACTCCGGGCCCGGCAAAAAATTACCGGGCCCGGGACCCGGTTTTTTTACTCAAAATCGCACCCGGGCCGGCTTTTCCGGACAAAACCGGAAAAACCGGTTAGCCCGGAAAAACCGGATTTTCTCAAAAATACCCGGTTCCGGGCCACCGGGCCCGGAAAAAACCGGTCCGGGCCCGGCCCGGGTTCGAACTCTAATACTTATGGCGTTACGAAAAACTAAATGGTCTCAAATGTTAAAATCCAAAAACTACCCCAAGACTCTAAAAATCAAAAAGTTAAAAAAAAGCAATAAAAGGATTGCTAATAAAATTTAAAATATAACCTTCAATCGCATTTGCAGTATTTTGAGTTCCATAATCCAAACCTCGCTCCAAACAAAATCGATGTAAAATATTATTATTTTCGCGCAGATTCTAAAAAGAAAATTTTTTTAATTTTAAAAAATTAAAAAAAACTTACTCTAACAAGATCATCCAACGATTTACTTTCTGCAGCCATAATTTGACGGGCTTTTACTGGATCGACAAGTTGAAGATTTGTAAATCCTGGAAGAGGTCCAATTTCTTCATCATCATCAATCGTAACTATTGCCTCCTTAAAAATAAAATTTTTGGATTATAATAGATAGTCCTCGTCAAAAATTACTAAAACTAAAGGGAAATTTTATTCTAAATTTAGAAATTATTTTAAAGCTCCTAAACGGGGAAATCATAAAAATTCATGATCTACCAAATTACGATCAAACACAAGAGCAGTGGAACTGACAGAATATGAAATTTAAAGGAGGTTCAAAATACAATCCCTAAATGAGAATTTAAAAGTACAAAATATGCCTCTTCATTGACGACCTGTTCAACCGGTTGAATTTCGGGCTCTTGAATGGAACACTGAATATTTTCTTCCATAGATGCAGTACTAGTTGTAGTCTTTAAAAAATAAATTTTTGAGGTTAAGAAAGAAAAACTAAAGCCTAGTATCCAAAGAGGATAAACGAAAAATTAAGCACAACCAAATTTACCTGTTCAACTTGATGTACTTCAGGCTCGTTAGATCGATTAATTTGAGGATTTCTTTTTGAACGTCCAGCACTACCAACCTTTAAACAAATTTAGAATTTTGGGAAAAAAAAATAAAAAACCGTTTGTGGAGGATACTCCACCTCAATTTCTTCTTCATCTTGTTGCTGGTCCTCTCGAGGCATTTGAGCTGGTCGGTTCGGCTTTGAAGCTTTAGATCGTTTAGCGCGAGAACGTGAACGAGACTGCGAACGACGAAACACAGGTTGCTGCTGAATCTTTTCCATTTTCTGCAAAACAGGCATTTGAGAGCGATCAACGTTTCGACGAACATTTCTGTCTGCAGATCTACCAACCTTTAAACAAAAATTTTTAATATAAAAGAGTAATCATACCGTCCGAGGAAAGTATTCATTCTCCATCTGAACACATTCCTCTTCACCTTGTTGTTGACCCTCTTGAGGTTGTAACGGAGGCGGCTGATTCGGTCGTGGCACAGTATACGGATTACCCCCAGGTTGACGCGATCGAGAACGTGAACGAGACCGTGAACGTCGAAATCCAGTTTGATGTTTAAGCAAATGTGCTTCTAAGTTCTTGTTAAAGTTAGTACCAAAGTCACAATCAGCATGTCTAAAATGAACAAGTTTGGAAATGAAACTAAATTCAATTTTCCTCGGAAAATACGAAAAGTTTACTGGAAGTTCATCGATACATAACTATTAATGCTAATGTAAATTTAAAAAGCACCTAGTTTTAGAGGAGATAGGAAATGTTAACGCGAACCCGCAAAAATTCGCAAGAAACGTTAATCGAGCATCGGCGATTTTAAACAAATACTAAAAAATAAAACTAACGTGCAACGAAATCTTGTGCCACGCTCTTCAGCAGAATGCGATGAACTTTGATGATTTGCTACACCCTGTTGTGAAGAGAACCTTCGTGTACAAAGTCCACACGGGAAAGGATGCATTGCCTGACACTCAAAAAGATGACCTTCCATCTAGAAAAATAAAAGAAAAGTAAATTAACAAAAACGTAAACAAACTCTGCCATTTGGAACTTTCAACCCGCAAACATCGCAAGGAACTTTAGCACGAGGATCGGCCATTTTGAAAGTTAGAAGTAGGAAAATGCGAAATTCAAAGTAAGAAAGTCTGAAATAATCTGTTGATAAGTATAGAGAAAAGCCAAGAATAACTATAGGCAAGCACCTAAAAAAGAAAACTTTAAAACCAAATCTTTCCTCGGCTCCGGTACAAAATATGGAATCGTTAAAATATGGAATGGTTAAAATCGCGAATAGGCTAAAAAGGGGTTAAAATACCGAAACGTTAAAATATGGAAACGTTAAAATATCGAATCGGGTAAAAAAGGGTTAAAATATGGAATCGTTAAAATATGGAATGGTAAAAATGTCGACACGGCTAAAATCTGTCAAAATGTCGAATTCTTTTAAAAAAGGGTCATATGAGTGCAATACGCTGATTGTTGATGACAACTTATCAACTTATTTTTGATAATTTGATTGATAAGTTTCGTATGTCGTAGTAAAATCAAAACTAAGCAAAATAAAAATTTTATATTTCATTTAAAATCACCGAACAAAAATCATTAAAGCTAGAATCATTGAACAATAAAATAATAATCAAAGTCAATAAAAAAATAATAAAAAATAAAGTAAAATATTAATAGATAAATAATGAACTAGAAGCGTCTAAATAATCTTGACTAATAATTTGACTTTCCAAAGTTGCACTATCCACACCATCTTCAGTATCACGTTCTTCCTGTTGACGTGTAGCAACTCGCAGTCCCTCAACATAACCACTCATTTGTAAGCCAAGGAGCGTTAGAACATTCAGAAGTTGTCTATTATCATCGTATTCGGCTTCATTTAGCTTCATTATTCGGCTTCATTAATAGCACGCCTTACTTCTCTCAATACTTCCTGATAATGAATTGTCTTTTTTGTTGGAAGAAGGGCTTGGACACAAACAACAATGCGACCTCGTACAAAAGCACCAATACAAAAACATTGCGCAAATGGCCTTGGGGCGGATTTGAAGGTGCCATCACAGGCCCAATGCTTATTTTGAGATAATATATCGAGCAACTAAATTTTTAAAAATAATACTAGTTCAAAATTATTAAAATTAACCCTTGCATGGCTAAAGACAAGAACAACATCCTCATTTCCACGCTCATCTCTACTGTCGTAAATCAACGTTGATGAGTTGTATTTTTCTGTCAAAAACGCTGGAATGACCATTTTTCCAAGATCCACACAATTAACGTTCCCAAACTTTTGCTTTTTTTGCCTAAAATGAGGGTAATTTATTGAAAGAAAATAATGAAAATAAACCTCTTTATAAGCTGATTTAAAGCATCATCACTACCCAAAGCAATGTAAACTTCATCTGGGATATTTGCTCGTACTTCTCCCAGAATTGGTCTCTTATCCTTCTTCAATCTATTTCTAAGCTCTTCACAAACTTTTTTTTGAATTGCTGGAGGATGATTATGCTCTTTTTCTCCTAAACTGCCAATAAATTGGCCATTTTTCTCTTCAGCTTTTGCAGTTGCCTGGCAGTCCAAGTTTGAACAACGCCAATGAATATTTTTACTCTTGACATATCGATACCCTCAAAAAATCCATTTTAATAATTTGATATCTAGCTCAAACCTGCATGCCAAAGGCTGACGCCACCCTTCTGTGTAACTCCTTGTTCAAATTTTGTCAGATTTGCTCCATAGCATTTTTCATTTTCTCCATCAAGATTTGCTTCTGGTTCTTGTTCATTTAAATCAGAAGTATCATTGATTTGTAATCGTCGTTTTCGAGTTTTTTGTAATTTTGCTAAAGTTGTTCGTACATCCATTTACGGATAAAATTCTAAATTAGAGGTAAAATCTATTAATGAGGTAAAATCAGTTGCAGAAGACGGTATATTTAATCTGATTTTGGCCGTGTCGACATTTTTACCATTCCATATTTTAACGATTCCATATTTTAACCCTTTTTTAGCCGATTCGATATTTTGACCATTCCATATTTTAACGATTCCACATTTTAACCCCTTTTTAGCCTATTCGCGATTTTAACCCATTTTTACCCGATTCGAGATTTTAACCCTTTTTTAGCCTATTCCATATTTTAACGATTCGGTATTTTGTCCGGACACGCTTTCCTCGAAAAGCTTAAAAAAGCCACACAAGTTTAGTTTTCATTTTGGCATTAATTTTGTCTTTGGCATAATGTTAATAATTGGCAATTTTTCAAAAACTAGACACCGAGAGAATTTGTATAGATGAATTGAAAAAAGGAGAGTTGGGGAAAAGAAAAAGAAAGAAATGTTAGACACTTCCATCCAAATCACTGTTTATTCTCTCGATCAATTCCTTTTATTTTCCAATCACAATTGATTATTTCAGTCAGAAATCTTTACAATTTCAATGTTTTGGACATGAAACATGACATTAAATTTAATCAACGTAATTCCCTTTTTCTCCAATTAATGTGTGAACAATGTGGAGGTGAACTTGGAGAACAGCCTAATATTGCTATTGTTTGTTTGCTTTTCAATTAGAAATAATTTTATTTATTTTTTAAAGAAATGTTTACATAGATTTTGTTCTCCTTGTATTGAAAATAATGCAAATTGCCCAAAATGCGGGATGGCAACAAAATTCGAATTGGATTCCAATTTCTCTAGTTTATTAACAAGGGTAGGTCTTCATATATTTATAATTTGAAAAATATTCATCAGACTTCTCGATTCCTTACTTAAATAAAACGGTATCGTTATCTTCATACAAGTCCGAATTACAAGGAAAGGTTGCGAGATGTCCTACCTAAAAACGGTCGAGGTCGGGCTCATTCGATAGAGAATATGCCCTTTCTAGCAAGGATTTTGAGCCGTTTTTGCCCGTTTTTTGATCTGGCCCTCCAAAATCCCAAAATTTGGCATAATTTTTCCCACTCCAAATATAAATTTTAAATAATTTATTTTTCATTACTTAATTTTGTAGATAAAGCAACATAATCGAATCGCTGTCAAACGTAAAGTAACCGACACACTCAAAAATGATGGTTTTGAATTAACAACAAATGGAATATCTTCCCACCAGGAATCTGAATTAAATCCAAAAATTCCGAAATTTTGCATTTCAAACTGTTCATCAACAGATTTTATTAGTCAAAATCCTTCAATTTCGTCAGCATTTAATGGCCCATCTACAAGCTCTTTTTCCTTTAAAAAATCACCAGTTAAAACAAAGGTATTTTATTAATTTAAAGAAATCCTCAAAATCTTATTAAAATTTTGGGTCGTTAACGATTGGAATTTTGAATCTATTATGTTATGTACTAGAGACCGGCAAAATCGCGTTTGCGTGATCCTGCGTGCGGGATTAATTTTAAAAATCTTTGCGGGACGGGATCTCGCGGGATAAATTCCGAAAATCCCACAATCCCGCAAATCGAAAAAAGTGCGGGATTGCAGGACGGCTCCCGCAAAATTTCGCGCGGGATCCCGTCACGCGCTGGTCTCTATTATGTACATTGGTAGTATTCAAGGGTTTATTCTGATTTGTCTTGTTCGACTCGTTTCGTGGGATTCTCATTTTTACTTATCCAATTAATCTAGGAGCACAAGAACTTGCTACATATTTTTAGTGATTAAATACTATATTTTATTATCCAAAAAATTTATTTGATAATTCTCTTTAAAGCTAAAATTAAAAAATTAATTTTCTAGACATCACCTCGACCTCTGTCAGCTCAAAAATCAATCAATGAAATTGTCAATAGCAGAATGCCTATTAGAAGAGATTTACATAATATGGTGGTGAGAACATTAGATTTACTTTTTAATTTATTTTTTAAAATTTAGGCAATTGTTCTTTGGCCAGATGGAACAAATTATAGAATAAAGGATTTACCCCAATGTTTACTTAAACCGAGATATTTATATGTGCCACCAACAACTACTGGTTTAAAAATAAAAAAAATTAAATAATTCTTTTTTAATTTTATAGTTGAATTTTTAATTGAATATCTATTTAAAAGAGCAGAATTGGAAGCTGATTGGAAATATCGACATAAGGTTTTTAAGGAAATTTTTTTTAAAGTTTTGTTGATTCCATGGGTAAATGTCCTTTTATTAAGCATTAAAAACAGACTTTTTACCATATAAATAAGAAACTCTTTAAGTAGGGTTGTGCACGGCCGGTTTTAAAACCGAAAATTTCGATATATTTTGCCAAAAATTAACCGTTTTTACATAATTAAAAAAACCGAAAACTTCTAGAAATGAGAGATTTTATTAAAAATTCCCCCAAAATAAAACCGGTATTTGCCTAAAACTCAAAATTGAAAATCGTGCTTTTAAAATTTGGATTAACCGAAAACCATGAGTATCAGTCAATAACCGGTAGTGAATAACCCTAATTTTAAGATTAAAAATTTATAAAAAAGATTCGATTTCTTTTTAAATTTCTCCTTCGAATAATGCGAAGGTTGACGAGGGAAATCCATTAAACGGACTTAATTTTATTTTTTCTTTAAATTCTTCTAAATTTAAAGTATCGTGTTGAATTGATGCCAGTAGAAAGTGAAAGAGAAGAAATTAATTTATGGATGAACCCTCGTCGTGATATTGACTATTTGACAAGAGATTTCAAAAGTAATTTACAAGACAGCACAAATAATGAAGAATATGTGCTTATTTTACGCAAAAATCAAGAAGACTCATATTTCTATACAAATCTGATAATTTCACATCCTTTCAAAGCGTTAAATAATGAAAGAACAGTTGCTGAACTTTTGGAAGAAAATTGCAATAAACAAAATATTCGGCAGAATTTAACAGTGGAAAATGTTAATGGAAAGTCATTGTCCCCACAAAATGGCTTTCAAAGAAATGGAAATAAAACAAAAAATGATGAGGTAATTTTTGATGAACGCCCACCAAAATTTATTTATCGATTCGTTGCTTGTAATAATACATGTGATCGTTTTGCAGTAAGTAATTTCACAATTCCCAAGTAAATTAAAATGGAAGCAGGACATATGGGGGATGGATAGGAGGCTAAATGGTTAGTTTTTTTGATTTACAACGTTTTTAAGTAAAATCGTTGTGTCCAAGACCGAAAATTTTCCAATCCTCAAAACAAAGGCTGGACCCGAAGACCAAGACTTGACCCCAGATGGTGAGACACACACACACATCTGCCCGTGGTGAACAAGTAACGAACATCAAACAATTTTGCTAAAATGAAGAAGCATGTAACGATGAGCGCAACAACATTATTCAATATCAAGGCAGTCTTTCATTCATGTTTATCCGCAGCATATCCACAAGAAAGTCCTCCGGCAATTCCTCCAATTGCAAAAATACTGACAGCCACCAACCTTAAAAAAGAAAAGCTTTTGTGTGAAGATTTAAGGCTTTGAAGCCCTCACCATTCCGTTTCCATATCAGCGATTGTCATTCTCTTTTCATGTTTGTCGAGTCCTTTATTGTACGATTCCGCGAACCATTCTTTAATTAGAACAGCTAAAAAGTAAAACCGTTAATCAATTTTTAGCAAACCAGCAATCAGTCCAGTGACAAGTCTGCCCGCAATGAATAAGTAGCGAATGTTTAAATAAGTAGCCATAAGTAAATAAGTGGTAATAAGCTACTCAATCGTAATATCTTTGGTAATAAGCTACTTATGGCTACTTATTTAAACATTCGCTACTTATTCATTGCGGGCAGACTTGTCACTGGACTGATTGCTGGTTTGCTAAAAATTGATTAACGGTTTTACTTTTTAGCTGTTCTAATTAAAGAATGGTTCGCGGAATCGTACAATAAAGGACTCGACAAACATGAAAAGAGAATGACAATCGCTGATATGGAAACGGAATGGTGAGGGCTTCAAAGCCTTAAATCTTCACACAAAAGCTTTTCTTTTTTAAGGTTGGTGGCTGTCAGTATTTTTGCAATTGGAGGAATTGCCGGAGGACTTTCTTGTGGATATGCTGCGGATAAACATGAATGAAAGACTGCCTTGATATTGAATAATGTTGTTGCGCTCATCGCCACATGCTTCTTCATCTTAGCAAAATTGTTTGATGTTCGTTACTTGTTCACCACGGGCAGATGTGTGTGTGTCTCACCATCTGGGGTCAAGTCTTGGTCTTCGGGTCCAGCCTTTGTTTTGAGGATTGGAAAATTTTCGGTCTTGGAAATTTTAACGATTTTACTATTAAAAAACGTTTTTTGTCTCAATAGTAACAAGACGATCTCCATATGTCTGTTTCACAAATGATTCCCATATATTTTCTCATTAGGTCTAAATTGCCCCCAAATAAATGAAATTCAAGGATGTTTAACTTGTTTTGATCAATCATAGGTTTTTAATTTTTTTATATTTAATTTTGATTTAAAACATCTTTGAATTTGCCTTTCCTTTAATTAATTATTCCCTATTTTTTCTAAATCTTGCGTGCTAATTTTTTAATTGTTCTCATATTTAATGAATATTTTAATTTTTGAAAAAGAACTTTTTTTCGTTTAATTTAAAATCTAAATTATTCAATTACTTTTATTTTTAAACCAAAATGTCAAAATTTACCAAAATAAATACAAAATAAATTATTAATATAAAAAAGTGAAGTTTGGTTAAAATGTTTTGGCAGAAAAATATTTCCCAGAGGTTTAAGTTTTAAACAGAGATTTAAATAAATTTAAAAAATTCAAAAATCAGAAAATTCAGCCCTCATCAATTAAAAAATCTCAAACAATTCCAACTGTTTTGTTTGTCGGGTCAACAAACAGTGCATGTTTCCAACGTCCATAAATACATTCGTCGACTACCCCATAGACTATACCACGTTGAGCACAACGGGCATAGAGCTTTTCAAGCAGTACTTGTTGCCCATCACTTTCACGCAACATTTCCCGAAGAGTATCAAATGCCCGATTAACAGGGTCGCGACTTCTTGAAAAATAAATTTAAAAACAACAAAAAAATTCAAATAAACCTGTCAGTAGTTGTTTGTTTATGAGCACGTAGAGATTCTCTTGCAGAATCAAGCAAACGCAATGCTTCTTTCACATCAGCTGCTTCCACTACATTTGAAAGACGAAGGCGAGCTAATGCAGTACATGCTCGAATTGCAGCCTAAAATAAAAAATTTAAAATTAAAGAAAGAAAAAGGAAAAGTATACCAAAAGTATTCTAGGTGATGTAAATGTTGAATCTGCACTATTTTTTGATTCACGTCGAAGCTCAACATATTTATCAACTAAAAGTTCCTTCAGGTCATCCGGTAGCACTGGATCCTTTCGTTTACAGACAGCGATGTACTTTCTAAAATATTTTCTCTTTTAATCAAAAATGAGTTAATCATCTGGGAGGATTGGCGAGGGATCTCCTCCCCGGATTTCTTTCAGAAAAACACAGGTTCTAAAATCGTGTAATTCTGGCTTCTGTACCATTCGAAAATAAACCCACTAAGTCATTTATCATTCTTACTTGACAAAAAACCAGCCCATGGCTATTAGGATTAAACTCCTACAAGAAAATTGAGTAACAAACCTAAACAATTTCATATCCACAGGCTTAAATGTCGCCTCTGGCTGTTCACCTTTACGGTGTACATAAGTAATATGATCTGCCAATTTTCGATCAGAATCTCTATCAGGAGTATCTTGAATAAGCCAAAGAATATCAAAACGAGACAAAAGTGCAGCAGGTAAAAATATTGTCTTCAATTGATCTACTTGGATTATAACGGCCATACGCTGGATTGGCAGCAGCAATTATTGCAACACGAGCATTTAATGAAGTCATTATGCCTGCTTTTGCTATTGAAATTGTTTGCTGTTCCATTACCTTAAATAAGAGTAAAATAGAATTTAGAAAATTAAAAACAAACCTCATGAATTGCCGTTCGATCGCCCTCCACCATTTTGTCAAATTCATCAATACAACAAATTCCACGATCAGCTAATACTAAAGAGCCGCCTTCCAATGATACCTCACCTTGAAATTATTTTTATTAAAAAACATTTTTAAAGATTACTGGACGTATTTCGTAATTAGGTATGTAATTGAACCTTAAGTATAAAGCCAAGGCCAATAAAGCCAAAAGTTACAGCGAAGAACTTTTTTCTTATGCCGCAAAATGACTAACAGGGATTTTCGATGTTCGCCTAATAAGTCAAAACAATCCCCATGAAAAAAGTACACTAATTTATGGAAAAATCAATTTCTATTGTTTGAAACAACCAAAAATATTTGAAAAAAATTTTTTACCAGTAAGTGTATCTTTAATCACAGCAGCAGTCAATCCAACACCACTTGAACCACGTCCAGTCGTATATTGTGAGCGAAGGGCAAGTCGGTCAACATAAGTTAATAATTGAGATTTTGCGACTCCAGGATCTCCCATCAACAAAATATTTAATGCACCTCGAATGCGCATTCCGCTTGCATTTTTATTGACACCTCCGACGAGTGAAAGCAAAAGCGATTTTTTGACATCAGTTAAACCATAAATTTCAGGTGCAATGCTATATGCTGAAAATTGAGTTTATAGAAAAATAATAAAAATTAATGTCATCACACTTTTTATTAAGAAAATTAGGAGATCTTGGTTTTTAGGGATCAAAGAATTCTCACAAAGGAGAGGCCATTCAGCGAAAATGGTTCAAATTTCACAATAAACTAGGGTATGATCTTTCTGTTACCAAATTTCATCCCGAAGTCCCACGGACACCCCACAACCTCTCCTTTGTCGGGGGGACAAGGAGTTAATGCCTAGCTTATATAATAAAAACAAGGAGAAACACATGTGTAAAACCTCCCAATTAAATAAAAAACACAAACCAAGATGATCATAAAAATTGTCATGACTGACTAATTGAATCTCCTCTTCAGTCAATTCATCATCCAAAAATTCTTCATTTTCGTCTCGATTATTTTGAATATGCTAATAAAAGATAAAAATAATTTTTAGAAAAATTAATTTTAAAAAATACATGTGCTTCCAAAAATACTTCTGTCACAAGCCCTCCAACCATCTGACGAAAACCTGTTCGAAGTTGAGGAACAAGAACACCACAAACTTGAACAGTATCGCCAGGAATGGCTTTTCGAGTATTTTCTCCAGTCAAATAAACAGTTAAGGAGCGAGGAATTCCTCCGACCGAAACTTGTTCAGTCTAAAAATTGAAAATAATTTTTAAATTAAAATTAAAAAAAACCGTTTCCTGAACTCGAATTTCTTGAAATTTAACAAATTTTGAACCACGAATTTGCATTTGTAAACGTCCATTTGCCTTGCTTTGTATACATTCATTGCTAGGACAATTGAAAACTGGCATATACGAAAGTGAATTTACCTTTTGATTAAAAAATATTTTTACACTTAAATAATTAGTATAATTAATTTTTAAATGAAAAAACCAAATTCCGAAAAGTGAAAATAAAAAAGGAACAAATTTACAACCCAAAGGAAACTAAAAATCAGAACAAGTATGAAAATGTTTTAATTTTAGCGAAATAATATTAAAATAAGGCCAAAATAATTTTTAAAAAATTTTCAAAACAGGATAAGAAATAAAATAAGGTGCTCAGAATTTTTCTAGTAATGAAAACGATTTTTTGCATTTAACGAGTTTTAAATTTTAAATCAGACTTGATCCAAGCAGCAGGAAAAAGATTGATCTTACGAGGGCTTTCTAATGCTTAAAATTCATTTGCATTAGTTAAAGGATAAAAAAGTTATAGCCGATCAAATTCGGATAAAACGAGAGGAAAAGGAAAATGCGGGGATATAAACGAATAGTATCGAATAAGAACTCCCATCAAAATATAAACAAAAAATTCCTTCAAATTTAACTATTAGAAATTAAAAAAACCGGTTGAAAAGCTTCAGCTCCACAAGTGTCACAAATATAAGTAATAACATTAGCTAAAGGTTTCACTTCTGTTGCCCGAATAACAATTCCTTTAATAGAAACAAGTTTACCAACAAATTGTGCACGAAGTTCTCTAACAGCCAAAGGCTTAATTTCATCCCGAACTTTGAAATAAACTTCGCTAAAAAATTTAAAAAAATGTTTGAAAATTATAAACAAAAAAATACAATCGACGAAGCAATTCTGGCGGATAATTTCGACGAGGATCCTCTTCTTGTGTCAAATCACCTTTGTCAAGACGCATTTTTTTATCCATATATAAACGTTGGAATAAAAAAGCATCTAAAGCATCGATTACTGCTGGCTAGGAAAAAAGAAGGGAATTTTTAAAGTAAAATTGAATAAATCAAAATGAAAAAAATATAAATAAAATTTAATTTTCCCAGTAAACATTAATTTTTGAAATTTAGCATTTTAAAAATAAAATTTCCCAAATTATTTTAATTTTCAAAAATGAAACCAAAGATACAGGGTTTTTTATTAAATAAAAAATAGGGTTGCCGTTTTCGAGTCGGGCCGACGTTCGAGTCATTTTTTACGGCCTCATTTTAACGGACCGGGCCGACCGAGTATTTTTCGGGCCAAAATTCGATGCCCGACTCGGTCTTATTTTTTTATGAGTCTCGAATCAGTCTCGACTCTTATTTTTTTCGGACCAGGCCGGCAACCCTAATAAAAAAAGTTGCAATCCTGGAGTGATAGGAAATTTACTGAAATTATCTGAACCATCCCCAACTAAAAATTCCCTAAAAACGAACCTCATATCCAACTGATACCCACAAAATACTTAAAAACAAAAAACCTGTTCATCACCAAGCGCTTCCTCAACAAGTTTCTGAACAACTTCACTAAAAAATAAACGAAACCGGACAGTATTTCCATTAATTGAAGTATAGAGTTCAGGATTGTGAACATAAACATCGTCTTGTTCTATATAAAAAGAAATTTGTTGTCTTTTGGCAATTTGTTCAATTTCTTTTAAATATTTAAATGTTTTTAATTCATTTTCATCTTCAATGTAAAAATTACGAAGAAAATCTTCAATTTGTTCCTTTGCTCTTTCATAATCGTTGTCTGCCATTTTTCTTAATTTTAAAAAGCCTGAAAAATTTTTTTAGTTAAAAATAAAAAAATTAAACAATTATTTTAAAGAAAAATTCTTCGCGCCTAATTAATTAAATCGGAATGGTCGATTCGGTGCTATATATAAATTCGACAGTAGGGTTGCCGTTTTCGATTCGAGCCGACGTTCGGTGCATTTTTTCGAGTTTGGTTTTTCGATTCGGTTCGTTTTCGAGCTGAAAAGCCTTGGCTCGCTCGATCTTTCGAGTTTCGGTTCGAGCGAGGTGGTAACCCTATTCGACAGTTACTAAATTTGGCAGTGAACTATTTTTTCTTTTTTCACCATTTTTCTCGATTTTCGACAGTGATTAATTCGACAGTAAAGCCTAATTTTTAAAAAGTGTGAATACCTAATTTGGTAAAAAAAAGTAGAATATTCTTGTTAATCTAGAAGGATCTCAATAGACGTTATCATTTTTACAACTAGAAAGATCCAGCCTTATCACTCATTAAAAACTACGAACCAATAGGTGCAATTATTTGGCATTTTTCACATTTATCGCGTTATAATTTTTTAATGATCGATCAGAGTTGATCTATTCAATTGGAAAAAAGAACCCCCTTATCGAGGGCTTTCGAATCATTCGTTCCCTTTTAGCCGTACTCTGAATAGGCTACTTTGAATCAGGGCTATGCGCCAAAATTTTCTTGTGAAACGCAAAACGCCATGACGCTCAGCCCTGCTCTGAATCGCCCCCTTACCCGCTAAACCTATAAAACAAATTATCCAAAAACAACAAATTTATTTAAAAAATGATTTTCCAAGTCATAAAAACATTAAAAATGTTAAATCTTATCCTCCTCAAAATATTTAACTTCTCAAATCAATCAACATCAGAGTCTTCATAAAATTCTTTAATCACAAAATGTTTTGTAATGTCATAACAAAAAGGCTTAATTTCCAAATTATTTCCAAAGTTAGCTTCTACAGAACAACATCTCAAATGAACAAATGGGGCATAAGAGTCGAAATTTTCTTTCAATAATATTGCTTTACCTTAAAGAATTAAAAAAAAAGAGAATAATCTCACTAAAAACTTTTCGGTACTTTTCCGTTAATTGACCGCAAACGGAGTGTTAGCCGATTTTAAACAGCTATAACTTTTTTGATGCTTGATCCAATACAGATGAATTTTATATCATTCGAAAGCCCTTGATAAGCTCTATCTATTACCCAACTGTATGGATCGGGTCTGATCATTCCTAAAAAAGTTACACCCCGATAATAGTGAAAAACGACGATTTCTTGCACTTATTGACTTGTAACTTTTTTAAGAATGATCAGGCCTGATCCATACAGTTGGGTAAGAGATAGAGCTTATCGAGGGCTATCAAATGATATAAAATTCATTTGTATTAGATGAAGCATCAAAATTTTATAGCTGCTTAAATTCGGCTGTTACTCAGTTTGCGGGGTAGATTAACGGAAAAGTATCAATTTTTCAAACCAATTTGTTCCCCATTTTTAGTATAGAACATATAAGGCAGCTTTTTATTCTTTTCAGTTGGAGGATAAACTAATCCGCACCCAAAAATATCTTCATCATTCCAAGAAAAATCATCAAGTTTAAATAATTCACGTTTTTCATTCTCAATTACTCCAAACAATGGACGTAAACTAATCGCCTCCTTATTATCATTTCTAAGATCAATACTTATCCAGCTAAACTTCTCTCCTTCTATTTTAACTTTAATTTCAAAATAAAATAAAGAATAATTAATGCAATCGTCTGGCTCTTCAAAATAATTTTCAGCATAAACCTCAAAGTATTTATTAATACCTAAAAATATTTAAATAATATATGCCGACACAAAAAATAAATTCCCGACATTTGGGAAACATTCGTCGGGACAAAGCGATCCACGATACAAATATAAAAAACATCAAAAATAGAAAAACCATATCGGGGAGTAAGCTCATTTTGGGGGAAATTCAAATATACAAATGATGGCCCATTCGTAGAGCTCGATGAGCTGAGTTTTTTTCATGTAGAATTTTTCGCTTTAAAATAAGCTTACTCCCCGTATGGTTTTTCAATTTTTGACTTTGTCCACCTCTATTTCAACTCAGCTTTCCGAGTTCTTTCGAATGACATCATGCTAGGCTTGTTCGAATACTCAAAAAAGAGATATAAGCGAAGAGTGCCAAAAAACCTATCAACTTTATGTAAAGTTGCAGGCGTAGTTAGCAGCAGAGCTGTTTCGAAACAAAAGAATCTTTGAAAATTGGGAATCGAGAAAGTTCGAAAATATCGAATTTTCGAAAGTAAATGACTCATTTTCATTACATTACACATATCAACAAAATATAATTAATTTACCTTTCCCAACACAATTAATATATTTGAAATTCTCATCATCAATTAAATTAACAAATCCATTTCCTTTAACACATTTTGTGTTTGTAATTTCATCGGAGCATTTATTAGCACAACAATCATTAATAATCCCCTTCCATTTATTTTTAATTTGCACAAAACACTAAAATATTTATATACCGTAAATGCTCTAATATAAGCCCTGAGTTTATATTTCTCCAGATTTTTTTCTCTATTTTTTAAAAAAGGATTTATGACTCGTGCGTGGCTTTATAGCTGCATCAATAAGCATTAACATTCATAAGGCCAGCACCCAACGAAAGCAAAATCCTGGCTTGATCGGGGGCTTCCTTTCCTTCCGAAACTGCACATTTCTTATGATACATTGATCACTTTTATTTCTTCAAATCCCCGATACCCTCCTAAACCACCAATATCCCTCGAATCGAATTGATTTCGAGGAATTAAGAGAGGAGGGATTAAGGGAATATCAGGATTATGGGAAGATAACCAAGGATTAAAAGGATTAGATCGATATGGGCAGATATCGAGGGGTTTGGGAGGATTAAGAAGGGTGTAGACGATTAAGAGAATTTGATGAGATGTCGAATAATCTCATAATATCACTTCAGAATTTTTCAGGACACTGTTTATTTTTATTTAATGCTTAATAAAACATAAATCAATGTTTTGCATTTATTTAGAAAATTCTATTAAAATTTTGCGAAAAATTTTTGGATGGGCCTATATTAGAGTGGGCTTTTAATAAAGACGGGCTCTATATTAGAGCATTTTCGGTATTTTAGATTTAATTTAAATAAATACTAACCGCTCGTTTACAACTTTTAGTTAATTGTTCCAGTTTATTTGTTAATTTTCCAATCTTTTTTTCGAAGGAAACGCTCATCTTTAATTTTAAATTTTTAAAACTAGAAATGTTTATCTATTTAAAAGTTCATTTGGTCGAAAGATTTTTTGAAAAAACAAAAATTCCTTATTTGTATCTACTATATTATTTTATGAATATAAATTGGTACTTAACAGTTATACGTCCCAAGGGCGTATCCAGGGGGTTTAGCCCCCTCCCCCGAAACCGACCTCCTGTATACGGCCACAAACTGAGTGCATACGACATTGATTGGAAGCATCAGATTCGGCTGGCACTCAGTTTGTAAGTGCATAACCGATAGACGGATTTTGGCGGATTAAGACGGATTTGTCGGGATTAAGGGGGATTAAGGGACATAGGAGGGAAAAACTCGTGCAACCGTCGGATAATGCACTAGGACACATATATAACCAGACTCATAACAATGCCAGACTTTTGTGGGCCGTACCCGTAAAGCAAAGGATTTAATAAAGTTAAAATACCCCCACCCTTTTTTTACCTCATCCATTTGTTTTTCAAGAAAATTATTTTTCTCTTCAAGTTTAGCATTCTTTTCCTTCTCTTCATTAAATTCAGTTAAAAGATTGTCAAGCTTTGTTTGAACATTAAAATCATTATTATCAACAATTTGCTGAAAATTAATTAAAATTAATTTTTAATTTTTATTATGGGGTCACTTTAGTATATGGGTGCAGGCTTTAAATTACAAATGTTATACCAATTGAAAGAGCTCGTCGAGCTGAGTCGAATGCCACCAGTTTTAGCCCGAGGAAAAATTTTTGGACCGAGATATAGGTCCCTGAAATTTGAAAAACCATAGGGGGGTTATAACAAAAAAACCTAAACCTATGGAGCGTCGGCGAGGCGCTTGTGCAAAACCCCGCGCTTCGCGCGGGGTTTTGCGGCACGCGCCTCGCGGGGAGTCTACGGGCGCTGGGTCTGGGCTCGTAACATAAACCTATTCCTATCTCCCTTGCTCTGGACGTATTTGGGGCCTCCGTAGCAGCAAAAATCTCAACAGATGCCATAGGTAAGGAGCTAAAATAAAAGATCATAACTTTGTCCAATCAAGTCGGATTCCGTTGATTTTGGTGTCATTCGACTCAGCTCGACGAGCTCTTTCGAATGAGGTATAATTTGCATTTTCGAATTTTTCACCCCAAAAAAGTGCTTGGTCCCCCCTATGGTTTTTCGATTTTCAATCGCCTGTATCTCGGTTCAAAAATTTTTCCTCGGGCTAAAACTGGTGGCATTCGACTCAGCTCGACGAGCTCTTTCAAATGATATAACATTTGTAATTTAAAGCCTGCACCCATATACTAAAGTACAGCCTTTATTATTTTACCACAAAATCAAAATCAGAATTTGTAGATCCTTCAGACATTTTGTAAAAATAAAATTTAAAATCTAAAACAGAAACTAAATTTAATGATATAATAAAAGAAAAAAAAGTCAGGGTAAGCTATCAAGGATTTTTTAGATCAGGTTTTGGTTTTAAATAATTATTTTCACACGTCTCTTGCGTGGGGCCAGTTGAGCGTGCCTTATTAGTCGGCCAGTTAAGCGACCACGAAGAATGTTGTTCAAATAAAGGAAAAAGGGAAAAGTTGTTCCGACAACCTGTAGTTGGAACAACTTTTCCCGTTCTTGAAACAACATTCCCCGCCGGTGGTACAGCTTTCCTCGATGGTGGAACAAAATTTGCTGTTCTTGGAACAACACTTGTACGCTCAACTGGCCAATTACAAGGCACGCTCAACTGACCTGTCTGTCTCTCCTTTTTTCCGTGTTCTCTCTCCTTCTATATATCTCTAATTAACATTTTTAATTTTAACATTTTATTTTGTCCAGTTAAAAGTGTACAAAATGTCAGCTTTCGATAATTATAAAAAATGTCAATAAAGCCAAAATTTAACAAAATACCATTAAGACAATTTTTTCATAATTAGAGTTGACATTTAAAATAAATTACGTGCTTTTAACAAAAAATTTTTTTTAAATAAATAAACGTCAGCAAGTAAAATTTGCATTCTTTTTTTATTTCCACTCATCAATATATAAATTATGTTAATTATTTTTGTTGGGTAAATTTTGAATGGAAAGCATTAAATATGTTTTTTTTTGCAAAAAAAATGAGTGAGTGAGTGAATGAATATTTGTTTGTTTGTTGTTTTTTTTTAATTTTTAATGATGATAAAGTATAATGTACATCAAAAAATTATTTTTATTTAATGCACTTTTATTTAAATGAATTAATTTTTAAAAATAATTAAATGATGGAATAGTACTTTTAGTATATAAAAATATTAATTAATTTTTTCTTTCATTAAATGCCGATATCTCTCTTTTTATTTGGCGAAATTTTTGTTAGTTATTTCGAGATGCTGTAAATTTGAATTCAAGCAGTTTGATGATTATGAGAGAAAAGGAAACGAGTTGTTTCTCTTTGAAGCTCTCCCCCTCCATTTTTTAAAATATCCCAAACTCTTAGTTACACCTTAAAATAAAACAGTTAAAATTCTCTCGTTAATAGCAGAGGTCGACACGAATGACGAAGGTGCCGGCCGGAACTCGGAACTGTCAGAAAACGGAAATGGCTCAAAAGTCGGAACTCGGAAATCAACCTTTTCGGAAATCGGAATTCCGATCGATCTCTGGTTAATCGAAACATTTTAAGGGGGTAATTAATCTATACAGAATTTACAAAAAATAATTAAATATTTATTAATTAACTAATTTCAATTGCCATTATTCTACTTAATTCTCAAGAGTTTAAAATATTTTTTTCCATCAAAAATAATTGAAGAAGTCTTCTTATAAAAAAAAGATGGATTTTAAAATTAATTTTAAAATTTATTCAATAAAATTCCCAAGAGAAATAAAAAAAAAGAAAAAAACCTTTTAATGCCCTTCTCCCACATTTTTAAGTCAATTTCCAAGCCTTTTATTATCTTTCTTTAAAATCACCCAAAAAATTTTTATCTTTTCCAGATTTTATTCTTTTCTAATTTTAAACATTTGTTTATAAAAATATTTTTATAAATCACATCATTTCTAAAAATTTTTTTTTTAAATTTTCCACAAAAATATTTTAAAAATATTAAAAACCAAAACATGTTTCCTCAATTAATTATTTTTATTTGTTTTTATTTTTCTATTATTACAACATCAGAATTATTAAGTAAAGAAAACAATATTGCAGAATCTATTATTGTATGTTGATTAATTCGAAAATAATTTTTTACCCACTGGCCCTGTGTAATACGAGTAAATCCCGACTAAGCTTGCCAAAATCGTAAAATATAGTCGTTTTTGCTGTGATAGGACTCTGTCGGACTGTACCGATTAAGTTTACTGGATATACCGTCACCGGGATACACAAAATTATGGTGAGGGAAGACCCTCCGATGAGGGAAGACCCTCCGAAAGTCTTCCCTCATCTTTTTGGCTGCACTTTAGCCCGTGGCCCACTCAGAAACTCCACCCTATGGTTTTTTGGTTTTATGGACCTATATTTCAGTTCGTAGGCATTTCCGCAGATAGAGAGTGGTACCATCAACTTGGCTCACCGAGACGAATCGAATGGTATATAATTTGTTCAGTTTCTGAATGGGCCACCAGCTAAAGTATATCCACCTCTTCCCTAATCTATATCGTCACATCGTTTGTACCTTCATCTTGGATGGTATTTTAAGAATGGTTCTTCATTAAGCGATTAATTTTCATTGTTTTTTGCCTTTAATTTCCAGTTATCTCGTTTTGAAGGGTCTGAGATTTAAATATCCTTCCTTCCATCCTTTTATAATTTCTTATAATTAGGATTTCGGTGCAAAAACGTGTACTTTAGCTTTTGAATGTTGGTCCACAGAACCTGTAATTGAAGATGGAAGGCCTTTATTTATGCCATATATTGGTAGATATTTAAATGAATTTTTAAAAAAATATTAAAATTTGTAAGCAAAAAGATTAGAAATTGGAGGTGGATTGCACAATAAAAGTGGAAAAGGTAAATTTAAAAATTTGTAATTAAATAGTGTATATAAAGGGATACCTAACAATTATAAGTAATCCCTCAATGGTTTTTGTGTCCTAGATTTTTTTGATCCGTTAGACAGGGTAATTCAAACTCAGTATAAAACTGGTAGCGTAGTTAGAACCAGTGATGTCAAAGTTCCAAAATTTCTCTGGAACTAGTTCCAGTTCCAGAACTAGGTTTTTAATTTTAGTAGTTCCAGGCATTTACTAGTTCCGTATTTCTAGTTTCAAGCTAGTTCCAGATAATCGTTAGTTCCATAGTTCTAGTTCCGGAACTGGAACTTTGACATCACTGGTTAGAACTAAACCAAAATTGTCATTTTATCACTAAATATTAATCAGTGGAGGAAGTTTTGATTAAATCCCCCTCACTTATGCCACTCTGATTTACTCAGAGAATTTTTTAAATCTTTGAGCTAGGTTAGAAAATTACTAAAAAAATATTTTTTAAAGGAAAATGTAGATGTAAAGAAGGTCGATGTATGTTTTACTCATTACCAGAAAGAATATTTTATGAATGCCAAGAAATTTAATTTAAAAAATATTTTTTAGAAAGTAAATTTAAATAAAATACATAAATTCTAAAATAACTAAAATTCTTTATGTAAAAAATACATATATTTATTTAAGAAAAAATATTTGAAATTATTTGCTAGCAAAAAAGACTAGAAAGCAGGGCTGGGCGCAATTGGTTAAAAAATTTCCGCAACCGCACTTCAATTAAAAATCCGCAATTGCGCCCAGCCCAGCTAGAAAGGGGAGAAGTAAAGGGAGGGCCTCGGAATACCTATCGGGGTAGGAGGGGGGGGGGTTTAAAAAATTCTGATCATCCCCGACTTACGAGGATGAGGGAATTACCTTACTAGAAAGTTTTTTTTTCAAAAATTAATTTTTTAACTCAATAGAATCTGGCTTGGAAAATTTTCTAATTTTTTTAAAAATTATTTTCACCCGAAACAGAAAATGTAAGCTTTTGCCAGACTGTATCAAGTAAAAAATAAAAAGTAGGTATTTAGGGGGAATTTAAAAAAATAAATCACCGGGCGGAATTAAAAATACAAAAAATATATGAGAGTTAGTAAAGACGTCCGAGACCGAAAATTTTCCAAGACTCAAGACCAAGATTAGACCCCAAGACCGAAAAAACTCCAAGAAAAGTCTTGGAATCAAGCCAAGAGTCTCGGACGTCTCTAGGAGTTAGTACTTCTCGAATTTCCAATTAATTTTTTCCTTCAAAATTTACTTCTTTCTTTGTTGCATAATATTTGTTTGTGTTGTATATTGGTCCTTTCCATCCAAAAAATATGTTGTGCATTCCCCCTTTCCCTTTAAATAATTTTTTAATTAAAAATTTTTCCTCTTCCCTCTTACTTTAATTTCAACTTTCCCTCTTTCAACAGCAATAAATTGTTGAAAAAAGCATTTTAATAAATTAAAAGAAGACTCGCTTATTTGAATTTTGTTGGCTAAACCTGTCGATTCCTTTTTTAAAAATAAAATTAAATAAAAATATTTTTTCTTTTTAAACCATTCTGGAGGCCATATTTACTGTGTCCCCAAAAAGACAATAACGGGGAGCAGCTAATCCAACAACTCCAGCAGCTACAGAACCGCTGTGGAAACCAATACGAACCTTTTTTGAATAAAAAGATTTTCGAATAAATTAATTTTTAAGGGGTTTCTGATTTGTCGATGCTCCGTGGCTAGTAGAGATCGGTGTTATCAAAAATCTTCGATCTGGATTTAGGTTAGCAACCTGGACAGGATTCTTGATCTGAATCCAGGAAAAATCCAGACTGGATCCAGATCCAGCCAATCTCTAGTAGCTAGTAAAAAATGAGAAAATTTGAATTGGAGAACTGGCCTTTCATATGACTTTTAAATTCCGTTAGAAAAGGAATCCCCTTAAAATTAATTAAAATCACACCATAATAATCTCCTCTGGACGATGCCCAACTTTAAAGTTTGAAACAAACTAAATAAATTAATTTATTTTTATTTTATCAATTGAACATACTGTACGCATTTTAAGTGCAATATCTGCAATATGCTGTACATGTAAATTACCATTTTCACGAGGGACACCAGAAACAACCATATAAGTATGTCCAATCTATTATTTTTATATAAAAATCTTTATGATAAACAACAGAGTATTATGGTATTTATCAAGGGGATGTTAGATTATGAATTTTAAATTAACTACATAAAATAAGTAAAAGTTTAGCACTGAGCAGTGATCTATCCTGTGGCCTCCCGAAAATGATTAGAAAATATTTATGAAAAATTAAAATATTCTAGATTCCCCTTCAGTGATTTTATAAGCTTTTGGCTTAAAAGACCTTGCTCCGTCCCTACTAAAACTCCCCAAAAACCTCCAAAAAATATTTAAAAATCCACCGTTTCAACTTTAAAAGCATCATGTTTAGCTATAATAGCATCAAATCCACTAAACATATCATTCAAAAAAGCAACAACTTGGTAAGGGGTTGAATTAGCAGCCATTCGAGAAAATCCTCGAATGTCAGAGAAAAGAACTGTTGAATTTGTGTATAATTGTGGGGGGACTGGCCTTCCAGCTTTTAAATCATCGGCTATTGTTCTAGAAGGGAAAATTTAGTAAAATATTTAAGACTGATTCTATGTATGATATTTCTCTTAATTTATTTGATATACTCACCAGGGGTCGTTCGGAAATGGTGAAGGTGCCGGAAATCGGAACTGTCGGAAATCGGAAATGGCTCAAAAGTCGGAAGTAAATCAGCCTAAATTTCGGAAATCGGAATTTCGATCGATCCCTGGTACTCACAATTAATAGCAAAAGAAAGGAGATAAAATGGATAAAGTAAATGTTGAGAAAAAAATTATTTAGCCTTCTATGGATCTTCTAAAATATATCTTCTTATATTTAATATTTTTAAAAAATCCCCCAAATAAAAAATCTCCCTACGATGGCAACATATTTTTAAGAAGACGATCAGCTTGTTGTTGTGCCTCCTCCAATAATTGAGTTCTTTCTTTAACCAACAATTCCAAATTAGCTGTATAATCTTCCATCATTTTCATCATTTGATCAACTAAAGAACCACTTCCCGTCGATTTTAAGTTTGCATTTACAATTGCTTTTAGTCTTTTTATATTTGGTCTCATTTCTGGAATTTCTAGCCAACAAGCTTCTAATGCCTTTTAATTTATATCTTTAATTTAATTTTTATTAAATAAACCCTAAATAAACTCTATACATATGTATACTAAACAACTCCAAAAAGGTCAAGGAACGACAAGTCACAAGGTCTTACCAAATCACGGAACGACCAAATCACGTAATATTTTAAAAATCAGAATTTTTCAGATTTTTTTTTAAATTCTATTTTCCAAATAATTCTAATTTGTTAAAAAAAGTCTTACTTTTTTTTTTAAAATATTCAGATTTTTCAAAAAATTCCGATTTTAAAATTATTCCGTAAGTTAGCCGTTCCTTGATTTGTCGTTCCTTGTCTTGTCTGTTCCTTGAGTTAGCCTGACTACGGCATTAATTAATTTTTTCTTCGGTGGAGGTGAGGGGGGGGCGTTAATAGGAAAACGGTCATTAAGAGAGTGGGTGTAAATTGAAAATATTTTTAAGAATTAAAATATTAAAGGGAATAATTACAGAAAGTAATTGTAAATTATAAGCTTCCTCAGCAGGATTAGCAACAGTTTGTACTTGATTTGGAAATATTGGCCTAATAATTTGATCATTATCGTTAGCCATAGCAATTCTATTGAGTAATTCTTTAAATTAATTTTTTAAATTTAAAATCCAAAATTAATAAACTTTGGGGAGATAAATTCTTCTCAACAAAAGGCTCCAATTTAAATAAAATTTGATATAAAACCATTCCACAAGAATAACTTAAAAATATACATATTAAATTAGATTCTCGTTTTGAGAAATATTTTGAACGAAATTTCTTTCTGGCTCAAAGAAAAGAAATGGAAGGAAAAGAATTGGAGAGTAAGTAGTCTCTCAAATAAATGAATAATAAATGTAGATAGACACTTCTTAAGTGTACACCCTTCTCTGAAAAATTTTAACTAAAATGGGAGTACACAATAGAGGAGGTACATCCTAATCAGGGGTGAGCACATTGCGTTTATTGTATTTTGCGTTGAATTTTGGCCTTGCGGTACGTTTTTCACGGTTGCCTCTTCCGCCCACCCATGATCCAGATATCACCCTCACACTCAAGTGAAAGTATTCAGGTTAGGTTGAGTTTACATAAGTAAATTCCGATTGTAATTATTAATCTCTTTAAAAAACTTACATATCAGATGCTTGGGTTCCAATAGGCAAATGTTTTGCACTCAAAAATTCGCGAATTATTTCAGGAGCGTATTGGACATATTCTTTTTAATTAAACAAATTTTAATATTAAAAAATAAAAATTAGTTTATACTTTTCATATTTGCCTGATCTCTAACTTTATCGTTAACAATTGCCTTTAAAATCAAAATAAAAATATAATTTTTTGGAAGTATTTACTAAATACAGGATGACCATAAAGTAATTGCACAGATCATTTATGCCATAACTTTATTCAAATTAATAATATTCTTGATTATTGTTGTTTCTTGTTTAATTCTCTACCATTTAACCTTTATTTAATCCCATTATCTTTAGTTTGAATAAAGTTTGGCATAAATAAGCTGTGCAATTACTTTCTGGTCACCCTGTGAATAGAGGGAGAAAGGTAATTAAAATTCTTCTAAATATTCTCCACTCACCTCTTCCAATTTTTGATCTTCCAATGACTCCGAAGAGCTCACATCACGTCTATCTTTACCCTCACGCTGAAATTTTTTTTAATTTTCAGAAATTTTTTTATATTTTTTACTTCTCTTTCCTTCTGTTTTTCACGTTTTTTCTCTTCTTTTTCACGCCTTTTCTTTTGTTTTTCCCTTTCAATTTCACTATCCATCATATATTTTAGTTCATTATGTCTAAGTTTATCCCCACATAATTCATCGGTAACTAAATATTTTTTTAAATTATTTAAAAAAATTTTTTATTTTAAATATTTCACCAAAATTTGTCAATTTTACATTCCAATTAGAATCCACCAAACAATTCTTTAATAAATAAAAAATTAAGCTCTAAATATTTTTTTTAAATTTTTTCCCCAAAAATTAATTTAAAAACGAAGGCTTTTTTAGAGAATCTTAAGGATATATGTGCAAAATTTCCAAGGATTTAGGTACTTTTAAAAATATTATGAGTTAGCGAACAACCTCTGTACCCGTATCATACGAACTCGGGCACCTGACGATGGTTACCTGACTATGGTCACCTACCACAAGGTCACCTTATGACCGTCTCGAAAAAATCCTGGTTACGGAACTGGTGGTATCTAATATTTATTTAGCTAATATTCAAGAGTACATCTACATCAGAGGTCGGTCGGAATTCCGATTTCCGACTTTTGAGCCGATTCCGATTTCCGACAGTTCCGATTTCCGGCACCTTCACCATTTCCGAGCGACCTCTGATCTACATAAATATATTTTTCTACCTGTAAACAAAGAGATCCGTGCATTCTCAAAATAGAATTATGTAAAAAGAAAAGTCCTTTAACAACATCTTTAGCAAAAGATGCTTGAAAATTTTTTCCAATTTTTAAGTCGGCATTAAACAAAACATCTTCCAAACTTCCCCTTTGACACAAAATCCACAAACAAATAAATTCATTTTGTTGATTAAAACAAATTCCATAAAATTTATTTAAATTCTCATTCTCCATAATTTTTAATTCTTTTAAACGGCTCAAATCGTGTTTGTTAAAAGAAATGTTTCGAGTTTGTTGATAACGTTTATATGCACATTTGACACCGTTGGCTACTGCTTGTTTGGCTTGTAAACGACTATTCGCTTTTGAACCGATACTTTCTTTAAAAAATAATTAAAGTCAAAGATACCCTTTTTTAGATACCCCTTTAGGGGTGAAAAAAATTTTATCTTATAATCTGATGTATATTAAATTGGGGACACACACACACACACACCTAGTTATCAGCCAAATTAAATAAACATAGGTTTAAATTGGGGAATTTTTAAATTTCGGGGGTCTTAAAAATGGAGTTTGACTGAAATTAAATAGATAATAAAAGAGGAAAAAATAGGAAAGAATTCCTGATATTATCTCCTTTCTGGAATAACCAAAAAATCATTCTTACCATCATATGAATGACTTTCAGCCGATCTACTTTGCATTGACATTGATTTACCCTAAAAATATTTAATTATTTTAAATTAACAGTATTAAATAATTTATTTACCATTGATGTTGATTTACTCTGAAAATTTAGTTTTTTTATTTAATATTTATTTTTAAATTTATTTTAATGATTTTTTTATACATCTCGGGGATGAAAAATCTGACACCCTCTTTTGTATTTGAAGGGATATTTAGGGATTTATATGGTGAATTTATATGGTGACCGGCACTGAACCGAACGGAATTTTGCGTAATCCCAGTCCCGCAAGAACTTGTTTTCCGAAGGAGAACGGTCGGTTTTACCTCTTTTTCTACCCTTATTATCAATTACTTCCTCAGTCATCGAGGGAATTTATCTACAAATTTATTTTACTTCATATTTCAACTATAATAAGTTCATTATTTTTTATCATTTATTCTTACCTTTCCACCTCGAACTTCAAGTAATCTAACTTGTTCACGTGGAATACGCCTTCAAAATATTTTTTAAAAATTATTCTAAGGTCTTTTACCAAGTCATATCATATAACATTCTTTCCTTCTCTTTCATATGTAAATAATAGCCAGTAGGTATTGTTACACCCAAAAATAATATTACACCAAAAAGGACATAAAAGAATGTATAATCACATAAACCCCCATCAAATCCACATTTTGGCATATCTGGGGGCATAGCCCCATCTGCTGTTGAATAATAATGGGACATAGTTTCGTGGGCAACATGTTCTGAACAATCATTCTCACTCATTGCACATTTTAATCTATCTCCAAGACGAGCAGTTAATTCAACTACTATTTTCATTGTTCCTAGAAAATTATTTAGGTATATTTCTCCAAGTAAAGGTTTTTGCACGAATAGCTCTCTCGGTATAGCTTCCAGCTCCCAAATTTTATTATGGACACTCAAACCCAAATCAATTCAAAGTCCCAAACTCTTTCTGACAAACCATTTTTAGTATGATAAGTAGCATAACTGGGCACTCTAATAGCTTTATTGTTAATCAAAACTTGTCCGGTAACTCCAATAAATTGTCTGGCAGTCATTTTCTTCCAAATATACAAACCATCCAAGAAAACACTTTGATTTTTTGTTTCTTCATAAGCATCCCTAACAGCTAATCCATAAAGGAATAATGCATCATATAAAGACATATATGATAATGTTGCATACTTAAAAATTTAAAAATTTATTTAAAATACTTGAAAGATTGGAATTGAAGTTTGGAAATAAATAGGTATATTATTCTGAACTAAATAACAGAATCTAGAACATCGACCATGGATTTTATTAGAGATCGAGTTGGGTCTGAACCCAGGCCAGGGTTTTTCCTGTACCCAGAGTCCAGGCACAGGCATTTTTTTACCTTCCTGGGTTTTTCCTGGACTACAGGCCAAGGATCCGGCCAGGTCACTAAACCAAATCCAGAGTCCAGGAACAGACCCAGGCTTTTCAAAAATCTCGACTTGAATTTTATTTATGTATTAAGCGGGTTTTAAACATGAAAATAACACGAGTGGATTTATATCGGAAAATCTTTGGGGAACATCTCTCGTTTTGGAATGTAGATTCTCAAGGATAAAATCACCGTTAGCAAAATCCAAAAAACTCACATAAGTACTAATTACCCCAGTAACTTTATTTAATCTCAATTCAAAATCTTCGATAAACTTTTTATCATATCCATGTGCAGTTATTACAATTGCATCATCAAAAGCAACTCGAGTTTCCTTTAAGAAAATAAATTTTTTTGAACGACTTCAAAAGAATTTTTTTCAAACAGATTTTTCAATATTTGTAGCCTCCCAAGGGTAATGATCGTGTAAATGTGCAAGCCAAGGAATAATATAAACATATTCTTGAGTTTTTAAATGTGAACGAAGTGCGGCAATCATAAAAGATTTTGCTGAATGTAAATCCATTCCCATTTCAACGATTATAACTTTTTTTAAAAGAAAAATTAAACTGTTAAGAAAATTGAGAAAAAGGAGAGAGAGATTATTTGATTATTGCTTAAGTTCAAAATCCATTGCCCCTCCACAGATTTCAGAAGTTTGTTCTATTCGCATGGTATTTTATTGCGAGAAATTAGTTTAGTTTTTAATTAAATGATTATTTCAGTTAGTTAATAAGGCAGAGATTTTAAATAAATTTTGGTTTCTTCAAATTCCTTCCTTTACCTCTAGCTCTATTTTTTAAGTGTCTAAGTCTTCCAGTAGCAATAATTTCATCAGGAGTCATATAAGCTTAAATTAAACAATTAAGAGAATTAATAAATGAATTTTTTAGACACGAATAATTCTTCTTTAGATTAAAATATTTCCGTCAATTAATTAACATACGGTCTAATTCAATCTCTGCGTTTATTTCAATATTTGCATCTTTTAGATAATTACGGAGAGAATGTAGAGCAAGACGTTCAAAATGCATACTTGGACGGACTAGTCCAACCTTTTTAAATTTATTTGCTCATTAAAACTACTTAGTCATATACCTGTTTCCATCCATATAATTGTAAAAATGTGAGTGTTGCTCTAGCCATTTCTGTAGCTGATGTAAGTGCCACAGACCCGAGAGTGTCAAAAACTAGAAAAAGTAAGTTTTAAATAAAAATAGTCATGTCTAGTAATTTTAATTAATTTACCTGCTCTGTCTGAGAGAGCATCATCTCCAGAAAGGTGAGCAATAATAGGCACATTCCATCGAGATACAAGACGGCCAATAATTAACATTTCTAAAAATTATTTTTTTTTTGTGAATAAAGTCCTAAAGGTGGGAGGCTTTATAAAACGATGGAAATGATGATAATAATTACTATTTAAATAAATTTCTTACCGTTATTACATCCCGGACCAAAGTAAATGCTTGTCTAAAAATGTTAAAAATTATTTTTCTACCAATCTTATATTCATTACATTCTTCATGTAATGGAGGTAAGCTGCATGTTCAACACCACTAAATCGGGTACATGACTCCATTCTTAAATTAATTTTAGTTGTGATATAAACGGGGGATTAATTAAATATTTATCAAAGGGAATATTTTAAAAAATAATTTTTCAAAAAATATATTTACGTATAAAATTGTAGTTTAATTTCACGAGGTAAAATAGAACGTTCTTTCATATCATTATAACACCTACAAAAATATTTCTTTGAATTAAATAAACCAAAAACTTGCATTTCTAAAATTTGAGGTTCGTGTATAATATTTGGATTGTTTGGCTGTAGATGTGCTACTTTAATTACTATATTTGTTTTGCCTGAGGCAATCAGAAATAATATAAAAATGGGAGGGATTAAGAAGAATTTGAAAATTTTTGGAGGTTTTTTGGCCATTTAAATTTTATAATTTTGGCAATATCTAATTAAAAAGTGATTAAATATATAAATTCGAACCTCGATATAGGTGACTCTTCGATTTAACTGATAACTAACCTTTCATAAAATAAAGAAACTATAAAGTTTAAGTTGATATACTTTATTTTAGATTTATACCGTATTTCCATTAATAACTATTTTGGTAAATTATTGTGAGGTCATCAATGGATGAGGTAATCAATGGGGGTGGGGTAATTATTTGAAAGAGGGTCTGTATCTATGTCTGTAGAGTCTGTATTTTGCCTGTATCTCGGCCCAAAATTAAGACCGGGGGTTGATTTTGGGGTCATTCGACACAGCTCAAAAAGTTCTATAACCTATGACTGACTAACCATTTTTTACATATTTACCGAAAAAATTGACTGGGAGGAGGGGAGAGGGGAAGTAAATAAGTATCGTGATATTAAGTGTTTGATATTTGTTATGATCTATATATTACAATGATTCAGAGGAATGTTCCACTTACTGTAGAAAAGAAAACTTTGAAACAATTAGACAAGTAAAAACAGTTGAAGCTTTCAAAACTAAAATTGCTGCTTCTTAAGAGATAAATAAATACATTTATTGCTTTTAATCCTTCATCCCCCCCCCTCATTTATTTCCCCTATTCCCCCTAATAAAAACTCTTTTTATTAAAGCTTAATTTACTTTCAAGTTTTTAATATTTAAATAAGCCAATCAACACTAAATTGTTATTAGAGACAGTTTTTAAAAGTTGTAAAAATAATTTAAGAGGATTAAAGAGGCAAATAGCCCCACTCAATTTAAAATAAATTAATAGAAGGAATTGGGTGGGAAGAAAATGAATAAAAAAAAGAATTAATGAAATAAAATTTAAAAAATTATTTTTAATTATTTAAAATTTTAAATAAAAAAGTAATTGCGGAGATCAGGATTGGATTAAAGGAAATCTGCAATATTGAGTCATTTAATTGAATTTGTCTAATTAGGGAAAAGTAACTAATTTAAAGACTTGCAGGAAGAATTAGGGCTGTCGGATAGTTAGAAATCCTCGGATATCCGGATCCAATAACCTAGCAAGATGTTAGTATTCCTTAGTTTTTTAAACTACTGTATTTACTCGATTAATTCTCCTTGCCAGGGATGTGTTCGTTACAATAATTCTATATCTTCAACTACCCTTCTGCAAGTTAAAATTTCAAAACTTGAATTCAATTCAACCTCCATCCCACGACTGGGTTGAAATATTAATTCCCCATCAGGTTAGCAGGACAATTTCTTTTTTTTATCGACACAAATAAAATGTGAAACAATAAATTCGAATGATCCAAAAAAATAAAAAATCGAATGATCCCATTCGAATGATCCAAAAAAAGAGAATGATCCATAAAAAATATTCAAAGCTTTGGAAGACAACTTTCAAGTATTCCTTTTTTTAATTTAAAGGTCATCGGTCAAAACTTTTTCTTTAAATAAATTAACTCTTCTCTTTCATCTATTTTTATAACAACATAAGAAATTTGATCACTCAAAACATTTTTTTCTTTCGTTCAATTTATTGTTTGTCCATTTATTTTTTAAAAGTTTCTGTTTAAATGTTTTAGCACTTTTTCGTTAAAAAATAATTTCGATCCTATTTTATTTCAAAAAATATTTTAATGATTTTATTTTTTATTTTTATTATTTCTAAATTTTCTTTTATTCATTCTAAGTTTGTTTTAATTTTTAAACCTCACTTTTACAGTCTCTCTTAGGGAGGAATAAATAGTACAGAAAATCGAGGTATACCCATTATTTTTGGAGCATCGCTTAGGTATCTCTCCCTTACGCTAACTAAACTTAACTCTAAAAAATTTTTTGAATTCACAGCCATTGTTGCTGTCAACCCCGCTCGATCATTATTTATTATGCCTTTATTAATTCATTTTATGCCCCAAGATTACAAAATACCTTTTAATCCATAAATAATAATTAAATATTTAACAATTAATTAAGGGTACTGTAATCAATCTCTACGAACAACCAGGAACATTGAGAAGAGGTCCCGGTGATATAGCAAATCTTTGGCTTGGAGGGCTTATTGTTGGAGGGTTTTTGGAGAATATTTTAAAATTAAATGAAAATAATTTTTAAAGTTTCCACGGAGCAAATATTCGAAATGCAATAAAAGCAAATTCTTCGAGTAAATGGATAAGATACCAAAATGATAGACATCAATATATAATTCCATACATTATTAGTGGAAAGTTTGGCAAGTTTAATAAATTTCCAAAAAAATTTTTGGACCTTTTTTAGATAATCAAGAGCACGGAGTTATTGCCCGTGCAATGTTAGCAATTGCTGAGGTAATAAACAAAAATAAAAATATTTAAATAATTAATTTCCCCCAATTAGAATACTTGTATAAAATTTGAGAGGAGAGGAGGTGAAGCTGATTATGTTGATTTAAAAAATGAAAGAGGAGAAGGGTAAGGAGGGGAAAAGGGTTTTTGAATTGTAATTTTGGGGGAGGGAAATTGGGAATTCTTCAAAGTTTTTGAAGCTTCTTTCAATGTTCTGCATTATAATAGAAAGAGTTTATCGAAAGCTTAGCCACCGGGCCTGCGAACTTCTGACAGTTATTGCTAGGCGCTTTCGCTCACCATATACAGGAACTCTACCACTAAATCACCGGAGCAACGACTAATGCTTTCTCTTTTACGTGTCACGACACTTGCAGATATGACATTTGCAGACCCGACACTTGCAGACCCGACTTTTGCAGACCCGACATTTGCAGATACCGACACTTGCAGATATGACACTTGCAGATCAGACATTTGCAGATCCGACTTTTGCAGATTAGACCCATTTCGCTCTCTTCTTTACCTTACCTATACACCGTGGAGTGTTTGCTGCTGCGGAGGAATCCTGGGATGCCCATATCATCGATGATAGAATAGGATCATGTTACGAGCCCAGAGCCCATCGACCGTTGACTCCCCGCGAGGCGCGTGCCGCAAAATCCCGCGCGAAGCGCGGGGTTTTGCACAAGCGCCTCGCCGACGCTCCATAGGTCTATGTTGAACATTTTGAACCTCAGGAAAAAATAGAATCTCCGAAAAAAGTGGTGCCGTTCGACTCAGCTCGTCGAGACGAATTGGTATGGGTCTTATATCAAAACCTTTCCACCGGTATACTATACTATATCCTTTGATTTTTTTAAGATTTTTAAATTTTTTTCAAAAATTAATATCTGCAAAAGTCGGATCTGCAAATGTCTGATCTGCAAGTGTCATATCTGCAAGTGTCGGTATCTGCAAATGTCGATCTGCAAAAGTCGTCTGCAAATGTCGGGTCTGCAAATGTCATATCTGCAAGTGTCGTATGACCCTCTTTTATCCTTTTAGATCGTTTAACCCCTGCCTAAGCGTTTTAAATGCTCTAGGTGAATCATCCTTACATAATTAAATAAACCAAAATTATTTCCCACATCCCTGGGAGAATTAAAACATGGACCAGAAAATATATGTAAAAATTGTTTCGTTTAAAGTTGCTATACAATGGTAGGGAGATCTTCTGGAAGGAATATTGTAATGTTGGAAACAAATGAAATTGGTAGGGTTTTAGATGTTTTTTTCATTTCAATCCCTGTTATTTTGAAAAGCAACTTGTTTGGAATATGAAATAGTAATTCACGAATTAATGCACACAATAGGTCTTTGGCATGAACAAATGCGTTATGATAGGGATGATTATATTAAAGTACATTGGGAAAATATTGGGCCTGGTAATTAAATAAATAAGAAAATTAAAAGAATATTCTTTAGCTTATCTCACACAATTCGAAAAAGTACCAGAAACAGACAGTACAACATATGGTGTTAGGTAAATAATTAATTTGTTAGTTTGTTAGAAAAAAAGACGTTTCTGGCTTTTATCTGTTAGGAATTAAAAATTATGAATTGTTTAGCTTTTTTCAGATACACAGAAATTGTAAATTAAACATAAAGAAATTTTAAAAAATTATTTAATTTTGGATCAGGGCTGCACGCAATTGAAAAAAAAAGATTCAGTGACATGCAATCCGCTACTCGCAATTTTTTTCTAAAAATCCGCACCCGCAACTCGCAATTGCAAAAACCCCCGCAATTTACGCAATCCGCAACCATAATTGTGTGCCGCCCTGTTTTGGATACTATGTAAAAATAGTTTCTAAAATAATTAAAGAATGGGTCTTGAATAATCAAAATATAATCAAATATCTCTAATCAAAGAATAATTTTATTTAAAAGAAATTCTAAATCTGTGATTATTTTTCTTTTAAGTTGGAATTCTATTATTAACATTTTTAAACTCAGAAAAATCAAAATAAAAAATTTTTTCTTCAAAATTATTTTTATCTACATAGATACGATTACCAAAGTGTTATGCATTATGCAAAGGATGCTTTTGCTTCCTCAACAGGGAAAATTACAATGGAAACATTGGATAGCCAATATCAGGCTTTTAAAAAATATTTTCTTATCAGAATATTTTTTTTCAATTTAAAGGACATAATTGGAAAAGTAAAGGATGCCGCACCTAGTGATTACCTCAAAATTTGCAATATTTATTCTTGCCAAACCTGTATGGGACGTCCATTCATTCCTGGACAGAATTACCCGGAAATAGGTCAGAGAGTACTTACTCTTGGCCCGTGGCCTGTGACTTTACCTACGGGCAGTCCTTCTCCAGCAACTCTGCCTTTGAGACCAACAACTACAACAATGACTACAACAACAATTAGAACCACGAGACCTAGAACAACTAGAAGAAGAACAACTACTACGTGTAAAATAAAGTTTAAATAAATTTTGTGTAAGAGGACATTGAGTCCCAAATGTTCTTGTTATCAGTTTCGTCCCATCTTAGAACATGGAAAATATTAGAAAGGAAAAATTAAAAACCCATCCAGAGTTTTAAAATTGGATAATTATGATATTGGGGAATAATTTTGAGTTTATTTAGCTCCTTTTAATGAATTTAACAAGGGAGGAAAAGCAGCTTGCTTTGCACCCTTCCCCCCTCTTTTTTCAAATTCCTCTATCGCCCAATTCTTCCAACCTTCCTTCTACTTCAATTTCGTTCATTTATAAATCAAAATTTAAAATAAAAATTTAATCTCCAAAAATTCTATAAATTAATTTAAAGGGACACCTCCACCAACATGCCCCCCACCACCACCACCCCCTCCACCTCCACCTCCTCCACAACCACCTTCAATTCCAATAGAAATTGAAAAAGAAGAGGAAAACAATAATAATGTAGGAGAACGTAGATGGCCTACACCTCAATTACCGATAATACTTCCTTTAATAAATAATAATTGGTGGTGGAAGAACACTCCAGCACCTCCTTTTCGATATCCTCCACTGTTGAGAAGACAAATGGATGTTGAGGAAGAAGATAATAAGTCGAGAGAAGAAGAAATGGATGAAAGTGAAGAGGATGATGAAGATGATGAGAAAATGGAAGAAAATAGAAGAGAAGAAGAGGAAGGAAGAAAAAATGAAGAAAGTTGGCTTGGAAGATGGGAAAGACAGTGGAATGAAAAAATTGAAGAGAAGGAAGGATTTGAGGAAGGGGAAGAAAATAATGAAGATAATTGGGAGAATAAAGAGGAATTATTTCAGTGTTTGGAAGATTCTATTACGTGTAAAAAATTATTTAAAAGAAATTTACAAGGAAATATTGGGAAAAATAAATTAAAAAAGATTTGTAGACTAAAAAGAGGGGTGATGAGAAGATGCTGTAATAAATGTAAAGAGAATAATGGAAGAATTAAAAGGAATAATTAAAAATAAATAATTTAAATATTGTTAAATTAGAAGTTTAAAAAATTTAATTTTGTTAATTTAAAAATGATTAAATCTATTAGATTTAAATTTAATAAAATTAGTAACTAGAGTTCGAAGTTTTCAATTTGCCGGGCCCCGTATCCGGTTATTTTCTTCCAATCCGACCCGGGCACATAGCCATTTAATAACTCCGAAAACGCGGAAACACCGAAAACCCGGTTTTTTGAAAAATTCTTAAAATTTAGCTTTTTTCTGAAATTTCCTTATCTAAATAGAAATTTATCAAAAATGTGATGTCATCCCTCAATACCTACACTCTAAATACTGAAGGATTTGAAGGGATATCGGAGTATCAAGGGATTTGAAAGGATTAAGTGGGTTATCGAGTGGTTTACCACCTATTTAGTATGTTCGTTTTCTATTTAATCTACGTAGATTAAAAATTTATTTAAAGACAAACTTTTATAGCCTAATAAAAAATTTAAAAATAAATTTAAAAATATTCTTTCATAAAATTATTTTCTTTTATTTTTTATGATTTTTCTTTCCTCATTTTTTTATTTTTAAAATAATTTTAAAAAAAATTTTATGACAAAAATTATTAAATTTATTTTATTATTTTTAATATTTCTTTTATTTATTGGTAAAAAGAATTTTAATTTAAAGAAAAATTTAATTTATATTTTTAGTTAAAATAAGCTCTTTTGATGGTAAAAAAGTAATTGAAGTTAATTTACGAATTTTTGGAAAAGTTTACAAACAAAAAAGAAAATGTAAAGAATTTTATTTAAAATATATAAATAATATTTAAAAATACACTAAAATCAACACACGACTTAGTATATTTCCAAAATTTTTCCTTGGTTGTTGTAAAGCACATAGCCATTTAATTCCTAAGGCTGTGCAGAAGGCGGCGTGGTATGATGGATCATTCTGGTCTACTGAAGCTTCCAGCCGCCGATTAACCTTTTGCATTAGCTTAAGGAGAAAAATAGTTATAGCCCAGCTGCTTTACTTTGTAAACAAAACTAAAGCCTATTTAATATAATCTTTAATTATACATATACTCCTCAATCAAGATTAATTATATCGAGATTCGACAGTAGATGATATAAAGTTATAACACTTTAGGATATAAAAATGTTTGGGGGGAATAGGAACAATTAGAGAAACCCGCAGAATCGTAACCTATTCTAGCAGGGATTCTGCCGACAAAAAACCAAAATTCCTGATTTCCCTGCTATCTAGCTCTTTTGTTTGATTCCCCATTTCATTTTAATTTTCTTAAAAAATCTGCTAGACTTCAATTGTGCCGGTACATTAATATCAAATCGTTATATACTAACTGCTGCACATTGCTTTTTTGATTTTGAATATGTCTGTAGAGATGAATATGAGTAAATAAATAAATACTAAATTTTAAATAAATAAATAATTAATTTTTAGAGGTTCAGTAGCTGAAAGTTTGGCTAAAAATAGAATTACATATGAAAATATAAATAAATTAATTTTGGAAAATATAATTGTGGAAATGGATGGAACCTGTCTTTTTAATGAATTGTAAACAAAAGAATTTTTTAAATTAATTAAAAGGCTGCTCCCATTCTTTTATAAATTCGATTGTTTTCGATTACCCCAAATTTTCCGTTTATTTGTGCCTACCTAACAGATAAACATTTAAAAACTTAGATAGAAAACCATAAATATTTTTTCTCGCTACCAAAGTCTAACTTAACGATAAGAAGAATGAGTATATTTTTGAGTATATTTTAACTACTCTGTAATGGTAACTACAGAGAAACAATCAATTATTATAAGCTTTTCCTATTTATAATCTTAACAAATATAGATATCTAAATCCTTTTTTAATTTTAATCAAAAATATATTTAAATAATCAAGCGAAATTTCAGTTGTATTACCGAAAAATGTGTTTGTCAATCACCTTATAGAACAAGGGAAGTTGGAGTAAAAAGAGTATGTTTATATTAATTAAATAATTAAATATCTCTCTACTAAAGGTATTAATTCCAAATTTATTTGTCGATTCAAAATGTGATTCTGGGGATATTGCTTTACTTGAATTAATGGAGGAAGTAAATTATAGAAAAATACATTTAGCCCGTCCAACCACTCCTTTACCTTCAAATAAAATTTTATATGCTTCTGGGTATGGTTATGATCCAGAAAGGAAAATATTAATTGATATGGATGAATTGAAGACTGTTGAAGTTAATGTACTGGCAAAATGTCCAAAATATTTAGAAAGGGAGGATGACGCCATTTGTGCTGATGAAGTTGTTTTGGACCAAAATGTTTGTGAGGCAAGTTTATACATAACTTGGAGGGAGGGAGGAGGAGGGGGAGAGGATGCCTAAATGTATCCCCCCCTTAAAAGGTATTAACGAGTTATCTTACCTCAAGAGTGTATAAGGTCCGATTGCTATTAAATGATAGCCCTCCGAAATTTCAGGGGCACTTCACCTTTTTGTTAAATTTAAGGGAGACAGTGGCGCTTCTTTAAAAGACATAGGAAATGTTACGACTATTTTTGGTATATTTTTAAGTTTGGTTTTAAAAAATTAAAATCTTTTTTTGATTAAAGGCGTTGTGTCTTTTGGTTCTTTATGTGATGAAATGTTAAATGATGATCTGCGTTCTCTCCCATTTGAAGGTTTTAAATCCTGTTAAATAAAAAGAGGGAAAGTTTGGAGGGAAGAAACGCCTGGATATTTAATTTTTATGGGGGGTATTTTCTTGAGGGTTCTTATTATTCTTATTTGGTGCGTAAATCAGTGATTGGTGTATACCAGGGATCTAGCCAACATTAAAATTAAATTCACGATTTTCGGGAATCGGGTCGGCTCCCTGGTGTATACATAAATATACTGATAATGGCCCTTCTGTGAAAAAAAATAATGGAGTTCCTTCCTAAACTGAAAAATTTTTTCTTTTATGGTTCGAAGATTTTATGCTTTCCCCTCTATTAATTCCAACTTTAATTAAGTCACAATTATTTTTTTCTAAAATTATTTTTTAAAAGAAAGAAAATATAAAAATGCAGAAGTCTACACAAATATAACTTATTATTTACCTTTTATTTGTGGAATAATTGGTTTAAATGAATCTATTGGATGTTTAATTGAGGATATTAAAAGGGCTAAAAGACAGCCTTATTTTGAAATTAAAAGAAATGGGAAAATTAGTAAAAATGCACCTAAATTTGTTGCTGATATATTTTTTGGTTTGGATGATTTTTAAAAATAATTTAAATAGTTTTTTGATTTAAAAATAAAATTCGTATATTTTTAATTGTGAATTAGCATACATAATTTTTAAATACCAAAACACAAAAAAATAAGAATTTGAAAAATTATTGTTATGCATGTCTAGTGCAATACCGACTGAGCTACCAGTAGGGTTGTCAAAATGGACCATTCGGACCGAATGATCGAGTCGGGCCTAAGATATTTGGCCCAAAAGTGATCGTACAGGCCCGACTCGATAAAAACAAACCCGAATAAAAATGCCTCGACCATCGCTCGACTTGAGAACGGTGGTCTTTGTTACCAGTACAATGACTTTGATTTCTCTCCTATAGAAGTTCTAAAAAATTTACGGTTCCAAAAGCCAAACGATTTCGGAATATTTAACGGTTTAATTATTTTAGATTTAAAATCTAATTAAATATACCTAATTGATTATTTATCTTTAAATCAATCCAATCCTTAATCGATACAATAAATTATTTTAGCTAAAAAATCGGCCAAAAAAATCTAGTTTCTAAAAATACAGTCGTGGAAAAAAGTATGGAAGCGCTAGAAAATTTCTTTTTATTTTTTAATTTTTTATTCAAAAAATACGTTCTATATACCAATCGAAAGCTCTATTCGTATCTCAGTTGACGTGTTTCTGCATTTTTTATGAAAATGAAAATTGGCCGAGATAATCCGGATCTACCGGATATACCAAATCCCATTTTTTCGGAAAAATTTTTCGGAACAAATTTAACAAACCCAAATGATAAAGCATATTTTTGTGAGCATTTACCACAAAACCGCTTAGAAATATCTTTTTCCGGAGCAGAGATATGATTTTTTGAAAATGGCATTTTTCGCTTAAAAATTGAATTTTTTGCAAAAATAGACGAAAAATGCCATTTTCAAAAAATCATATCTCTGCTCCGGAAAAAGATATTTCTAAGCGGTTTTGTGGTAAATGCTCACAAAAATATGCTTTATCATTTGGGTTTGTTAAATTTGTTCCGAAAAATTTTTCCGAAAAAATGGGATTTGGTATATCCGGTAGATCCGGATTATCTCGGCCAATTTTCATTTTCATAAAAAATGCAGAAACACGTCAACTGAGATACGAATAGAGCTTTCGATTGGTATATAGAACGTATTTTTTGAATAAAAAATTAAAAAATAAAAAGAAATTTTCTAGCGCTTCCATACTTTTTTCCACGACTGTATAATAAAAACAGCCCCACCTTTTCCTTCTTCCCTTGATCTCTCCAAATATTTGCAGGGCATACAAATAAATAAAAAAAACTTTTTTATGTTTTTATTCCATCCACGTAAATGTTTTTATTCCATCCACGTAATATACCTTTATTTTTTAATATTTATCTCCGCAGGAAATCGTCGAAGATATATTCTCTCTCTTTTTAAAAAAAATCCCGTTCATACTCCATTCTATTTTTCTTTACGCCTTGCGCAACTTAAACTAAATTTTTCTGTTTATTCCTGGAAATTAAGCGGTAAATCTCTTTTTCCGTTTGTTCTATCTAAATAAAATATCTGTTGATTTGTTTAAAAAATTAGTAGTCGATTGTTTACTTGGATATTCACAGCTTTTTCAACATACATACATAGTTGTACTAATTTTAAGTAATTAAACAAGGAATTAGTGATGCAAGAAGAATGCCTCAAAAATAATAACACAATTGAACAAAACAAACATCTAAGCCGGCAAAGGATGTTGCTAGACCGTTGTGATTCCCTTAAGAGAATGGCTATTGTTGCCACTAGGTATTTACTTTATATTTACAGAATACAATTGGATTACTCTTGGAAATCAAGCCTACTAATAAATATTTAGTAGATGCACCCTATTTAGGGAAATTCTTTAATTTTTTGCCAATGGTCTACAATATTGGATCTTTTTTAATTTCTTGATGGAAGGGTGTAATTATTAGGTTGGGAGTAAATACTTTATAGAGGGAAACTATTTCTGCATTCAATTGTATATTTGATTTAAAATAAATTTTTGCTAGCCTAGGAATGTATCTAAAATTGAGATTTAGCTGTAATATCTAATAAGAAAATCCTGCTCCAAAATTTAATTTTAAATCCAAAACCCAAGACAAATGTTAATTTTGTTTTATGAAAATATTAAAATATAAAGACATTTTTAAATTAAGCATTTCCGTTCTTTCTGCAATTTTTTGTGTTCTTAGTATACCATTCATCTATAATTACCTACAACATATCCAATCAGTAATCGAAAGTGAATCGGATTATTGCAAGGTGTGTTTAATTGTAGGAGTAATTAAAATAAATCTTTTCAAGTACCGGTCTAACAGTCTTTGGAAAGAATTAAGCAGAACATTGCAGCAAAAGCCCTTAATTAAAGATTCACATCAAAGTAAAAGGAAAACACGGCAAGGGTATTTTCCCGTCGAAGCAGCAACTTTTGGACCCTTGCCTCCAAATTCTTCAGAGGCATTATATGGGGCTCAATTAATTGGACAGAAATGTTTGAAAATTATTTTGGACAGTCGGACCTCGATATTATATATACCTTTTGGGGCCTAGTAAAATCATATATAGTTATGTGTAACTTAGAGGGCCCAGTGGCCATCCAAATGTTAAAAACTTTTATCAAATTGAGGTGTATATAGAAGTGAGGTCCGACTTCAATTTATTTAAATTTTCTTATCATTTATAGGTGGGTGTTCTTATGGTGCACATGGTGAGAGTATTGAACATTGAATCCTTTATATTTTATATATTTTAATTTTTATTTTATATATCTTACATATTTTCTTTATTAATTTTTCTCAGGTGAACCTGGAGATGCTGGACTGGACGGAAAGGTAAAACATGCCTAACTCTAATATAAATAGGTACAGTATCGTAGGATGGCGCAGATGGTCTCCCCGGAACAGATGGGCAACCAGGTCAAGAAGCTGTTGGTGGTGCTAAACATAGAGACTTCTGCATGGAATGCCCACCTGGTCAAATTGGCCCTAGAGGTCAACCTGGTGAAAAGGGCGAACCTGGAGAACCTGGTATATTTTAAAAAACTTTGAATAATTTTTGTACATTTTTTATTCTGTTAATCATGTTTGATTTAAAATTCAGACAATTTTTAATAAAAATTATCGCTTTATTAGGCCAGCCGGGAATTGATGCTGATGGAGGAATTCGAGGTCCAGCAGGCTTACCTGGTCCACCAGGGCCTCCGGTTATCTTTCAGTTCTTTATATTTAATATTGCGATATATTGATTTTAGGGAGCTCCAGGCATTCCAGGACGAAAAGGAGTGCCAGGTAATTCTAAAATTTTGTTGCTCGATTAATTTTGAGAAAAAAAATTTTTTCCTCAGACATTACAAACCTAAATATATTTTGTTCAGGAAAGCCAGGCTTACAGATAGAGCAACAAGGAACTACTGGACCAGCAGGGCCAGTTGGAGCTAAGGGTCCAGCTGGAGAAAAGGGAGCACCTGGAGTGCCAGGACATCCAGGGCAGCCTGGATCTAAAGGGCTTCCAGGTACATCAAATATTTTTAAAGAATATTTTAGAAAGATTAGAAACATTTTCTTTCTTTCCTTAGGTGATAGAGGACCGGTAGGCCCTCCAGGAAAAGTTGGAGAACGTGAGTTTTATTTAACTATCTACAATTTTTAATAATTAATTTTAATTTTTCTATAAATTTAAGCAGGCAAAAAAGGGCAACAGGGTGAACACGGATTGCCGGGAGGTTGCACTCATTGCCCTATTCCAAGAACTGCGCCTGGATATTAAATTTAATGAAGGAAGTTTTGACAAGTTTTTATCAACGAAATACGAATATATTTATTTTTATTAAGCTGTTTGATGTTTTTGTAATTTTTGTGGATATTTTTACATTCCGAAAACTATAATTTTATTTCCATGAATACCACGATTTGTAGCTGAATTAGATAAAAATAAAATTTATGGGTTTTTATTAGTACATTCTAGTTTGACTTAATTATACGAGTCTAGGTTTGTCATCTTCACTGAATTCTCTGTTTTACAGAAATCGAACCAAAAATCTTTGGTTTTTCAGGTCGCTTTGATACTGACAAGTATCTAATGATGGTCAGCTGCAAGAGTCACAAATGAAAGACTATAAATCTAAAATAAACTAAAAAAATTTTAAAAGTTGATAAGTTGGGACGAAAATCTTCAAAAGTCAAATTCGGACACATAATATAAATTTAAAACCCCCAATAATTACTAATAAATATTCTCGTTTAAAACTTGTTAAATAATTTTAAAAAATTTAAAAACAAAAGATAATTTTGGTTAAATTAATTTAGTAATTTTTTATTAAATTATTATCAAGAAAAGAGAAAAAACAGGTTTTTAAATTAAAGTTTGGCCAGTTTAGAAATTAAATATATATCTAAGTAGAGAGTAACTATTGTTAAATTTTTATTTAAAAAAACAAAATTAAAATTTCTATTGAAAATTAAAAAGTTTTTTATTCTCTCTAAATTTTGCTAAAAAAATTTAAAAAAAAACAATTAAAATGGTTTTAATTAATCTTTTTGAATTTAGCGAATTAGTAAATATTTATGTACGTTTAATAAATTCGATTGTTTCCCTTGTTAAACAATTTATCTAGAACAAAATACATTTATTTAATCTGTACATAAACTAATTCTTAATAAATAGTCCAAAGAAGTCCCCCCAATCGCCTCCCTATTTTTAATGGCAAAATTTACAACAATTCAAGGTTTAATACGAATGGACCTAAATTAATTGAAGTTCGTTATATATCGGGTGTCTTTTGATATATTGTTCCGGTTCCGTGTACTCCCGGTACCGGAACCAAAAAATCCAATTGCCAAACACTGATTAGGACATAAAAATAGAAAGAGGCTTACGAAGGGTTACTATGTCCGACGCTCACTATTAATAATTACCTAATTTGAAATTTCTATTTTAAAAATTGTCTTAATAATTATTATTTTAGACAATTAAAAGATTATGAAATTAAATTTTATGTTTCTAATATTTATTTTTATTTTTTTGTTTATGTCATATCCAACAAAAGCACATTTTGTAAGTTAAATTGATTTAATCTAAATTAATTAAATAAAGGGATGTAATTGTCAATATCCAAATAATCAGTATGTTCCTTGGTATTTATCTGGTAATGTTGAAAATAGATTGACATTTCTTGAACGACAAACAAATCAAAAAATAAATATGCTTATAGCTAGAATTGAAACTTTGGAAAGGGAGGTAATTGAAATAAACAAATATTTTTAAAATTAATGTTAGGAGAAGAGGGGTTGTTAGCAGGATGGCCATTTTACCACCTTTGGGAGCATTTGCCCCTCTTTGACCCTCTCGCCCCCCCCCCCCCTTTTCTACATTTCTCACTTTTTGTCTCCTTTTTGAGAAGCTATGCCCTTTTGCGTGTCGACGCAAAAGACCCACAGACATAAGACCCAAGGACAGAAGACCCACAGACAAAAGACCCACAGACAGAAGACCCACAAGGACAGAATACCCACAGACAAAAGACCCACAAATATTTTTTGTTTCCCTTTCATTGTGCATAAATTTTGGCGCGAGGGATTTTGTTAGTTCTATTTGTGTTTCACAATAAGGGGTTGATCCAACAACGGGAAAGTTGTTTCAATATTAGGAAAGGTAGTTCCAACAATCTGAAGGGTTGTTCCAAAAGTGTGGGACGATGTTCCAATGACATGGTAGTTTGTTCCGACCACGGGCATGTTATAGTTATTTCCGACCACGGGCATGTTAATTTTTATAACAATAGGGAATGTTGCAACAACGGGTGAAGTTGTTCCAACGATGGGAATTTTGTCCAATTACCGGACAGCTTGTGTCCGATCAGGTTCAGATATAAAAAATAGTGTAAAAATAATTAATTGGCCTTCCAAAATTATTAGAATTCGCATCTGTGTCGCTAAAAAGGTAGAAAACTGACTTCTTGCCCTTTCAAAATTTCCAAAATTCTTGCCTGTGACAATGAAAGGGAAAGGTAGATCAAAGGGGTATTTAGAAGCAAGGGGTATTTAGGATTAACTGGATTATAGCGAGAGTCAGTTAAGTCCACATAGAGGGATATAGAAGGGATATATAAGAGGAATCTTTCGAAGAATATAGAAGGATTCGAAGCGATCAAGGGAATTGGAGATATGCAAGGATAAGGGGATCTTTGGGATAGTATAGATTACTTATATTTCTGAGTGACATGGAGGGATATCGGTGGATAAGAGCGGATTAGTGGTAAAAGCTTAAAAGTTTACATCCCTTGTAATTCCCAGACATATCCGATTTGTTGTTAATTTCCTTCTCCTAGTTCCAGTTATACACAATTCAAGGATAAAAATAGATATCGGTAGATTCGAGATTTTACCCCTATATTCTCTATATCCCACGATATTCCTACATATCCCAATTAATCACCCGACTTTTCAAATCACTTTCTAATTAAATGATCTTTATAATAAATTTTTTTATATTTTAAAATTTATTAATTTTGTGCCTTGAGATCTTACTCAGGAATTCTTGAGATCTTACTCAGTTCTTGAGATCTTACTCAGGTAATCTTACTCAGGAATTTCAAAAAATTTCTTTTAAAGGTTTAGTTAAAAAATTTTCTTGTGGGTCTTTTGTCTGTGGGTATTCTGTCAATTTTGGGTCTTCTGTCTGTGGGTCTTTTGTCTGTGGTTCTTCTGTCCTTGGGTCTTCTGTCTGTGGGTCTTCTGTCACTACGCCGCCCTTTTGGCACATTGGAAATGGCCACCCTGCTGGTTGTTAGTTTTGAATCAGACCAAAAAACTAAATTTTTTGGAAACATAAAGATATATTCCTTAAACTGATATCCCTTATTTGTTAGTTAGAAACAAAAAATGTGATCTCGTCTGTTAGTTTTATATTTTTACTTTGTAAAGAATCTGAGTCTAGATGTAGATAGAACAATTTAAATAAATAATTTCTACAAATATTTTTAAAATAAAGTTGGGACTCGTTCATAGAATTTCAATGCAAGAATGGAATAATTCTGGCGCAGGAAATATATACAAAATATTCAATACTTCAAAAACATGGGAAGAAGCAAAGGTATTTTAAAATTTTGAAAGAACGTTTTGTTCAGAAAAATGATTCTAAAATCAAATAATCCGGCCCAATAGACGCCTGTCTCTGAATAAAAGATATACTCTAGGCCAGATTCCTCGGGCCAGATTCAGTGAGGTGTTATCGAAATTTGATCGTCCCTGTTTATTACTGTAAAGCATATAGCTATTTAATTCCTAATGTGCAGTAGGTGGCGTGGTGTAATGGCTAACTCATCATTCCGGTTTACTGAAGATGCTATTTCGCTCCCAGCCGTCGATCAACCTTTTGCACTAGCTAAAGGAGAGAAATAGCTATAGCCCAGCTAGTCTATTATACTCTAAAATATTCAGAATACTTGTATGACTTTTGGCGCAAGATTGGCTTCAATAGATTCTGACTACAAAAATGCTTTTGTTCGAAGTGAGAGAACTTTATTTGAAAACTGTTAATTTCACAATTAAAGATATGATTGAACGTAGTTTTGGGAAAGATGAAAGTGCGGAGGTTTGGATTGGTTTAAAAACTAGAGCAGAATTAACAAACAATCCAAATTCACATTTTACTAATTTTGGAGAGGAAGAAAAAATTGATGGATGTGCTGTTATGGGAATTAAAGGAAAATGGAAAATTCGTTCCTGTAGTAATTTGAAACCTTTTGTTTGTGAACAGATTTTAATGTGAAAAATAAAAATTATTACCAAAATACAAAAATCTAAATGATTTTACTCAAATAATATTTAAACGAGACATTTAACAACAAAAGCTCGTTTTAGCCTTTTTCTTTGAAGGAAAGGAATATTGCTTTTGACTGGTTGACGCTTTGGACACTATTTGACGGATTCTATGTGGTCCTAAGTCGGTTTCGGTTTCACTGTTCGTTCCTGGAACTAATTCCCGAAACCGGGAGAACACTTACTGCAAGGTTACCAGAGATTAAAACTAACTGGACAATAAGGACCGTGTTACATGGGGCAATTGAGATGATTCTGTGAAAAGCCTTTGTAACCTTGTAACGGCTTTTAACCTTAACATATCAGTTACTGCTTTTTTAAATTCAAAAAGATCCTACCAAAATAAAGATTTCTAACATAACGTTTATTTAATACCAGCAAAAACGAAATTAGAATAAACAGGAGGAACGCATAGAGAGAAATGGGAACAATAGATACATTTGTCATGAACATATTCAAACAAAATATATCGAGTTTCACACAATTATAAGGGCAAATATATATTTATTTTAGTAATCCTTTTATATATTCTTTTCTTCTTTAGAGTTCATTCTCTTCTCCTGGAACATCGCTTCTCTTGACGAATATATTTTTGTCCAAATTGCCAAGCGTTTGATAGTCATCACCATCACCCACACCCTGTTGATTGTCTCGCTCGTCCTTCGGTTTCGGAGCCGCTAGAGGCGATGCCGGCGTTTCGTTTTTCGAATTTTTTACGAAGATGTTTCTGTCCAAATTGTCAAGCGTTTGATAGTCGGCTCCACCTCCAATTCCAGCATCGTGCTTTTCCTCCTTCAACACAGGCTGTTGACCGCCTGCTGGAGGTGTTGGACTGCCACCATCTTTAAAAAAAGGATTTTATTTAGAATTTTGATTTTCTTTTTACCTTTACTCCCTCCTTTAATAAAGATGTTTTTGTCCAAATTGCCAAGCGTTTGGTAGTCGTCACCCGCGCCCATCCCTTTCTGGTCATGACTTTCATTCTTCAGTACAGGCTTTGTTTCCTCCTTTTTCTTTTTTGACTTTGTCTTTGACTCCTTCCCCTTCTCCTTGCTAGACTTTAGCTTGTTATCCTTGCTATTCTTTTGTACTGGCTTTTTGACAGTTTTGGGTTTGGGTTTTGACTTCGCATTGGCTTTGGGATCTTCTTGTTCTTCAGCTGGAATCTCTGGCTCCTCGACTTCAATTATTTGTTGTTGAATTATACGTCGCTAAAATTAAAAAGGGTTGTTAAAATTTAAGAAAGTTTATCACCTTGCGCTTCCTTCTACAGCAACAACAGCAATCAAGAAGAGACTGAACAGAGAGCAAAGAGAGAAGAAGGACAAACACAATCAAGTTCGCATTGCCAAACGACCAACTTAGCCATCCACCTTCGCCGGATAAGGACAACATGCCGGGCTCAGAAATTAGAACGCTTTTGTGAGATTTTAGAAGTGACATACTCCGAGGCGTACAATAAACGCTTTTATACAACATTTTTAATTACAAATTGCTGTACTTAAAAATAGCAAGGATAAATTAAGAGACCTTTGTGTGGATGACCTTTTAATAATTTTCCTTGTTAATTGCCTCTGGCTATAAAATAATGAAAAAAATAAAATTAAATCGGCGCTGTTTGGCATTGATTTTATGGTAGATTTTGGCATAACGTTTAAATTTCCTTTCTATGTCTGTTTTGTAATAACTGCACTATTTATCCTTTTGGAGGATCTTTTTAATTTTTTGTTTTACAAATTACAATTTTAGATTTACAAATTTAGATTTATTTTGTTTCTAAAACTACAAAAATGGAAGAAGAAAATGGTTATGAAAATGGAAATGCTGAAAGAGTTCTAATTAAGCAAGAAATTAAGGCTGAACTTTCCGAGGCTTTTATGGAAGAAACTGAAATTTTAGATCGTTCTAATGTCAAATATGAGATTGAGGAAAAACAAATTAAGGAAGATAGAGTTAAAGAAGAGAAGGTAAAAGAGACAAAAGATGAAAAAAGAGAAAAACATCGTGATGGCAAAAAGGACAAGGATCGGGAAAAGGATAAGGATCGAAAAAAGAGAAGTAAACGATCATCTCGTGATAGAAGCCGCTCTCGAGAACGTGAAAGGAAACGATCGTATGTTTTTTTAATTAAAATTTAGTTTTGGCCCTTCCCTGCTTACACTCTGTCCCAAAAATATACATCCACCTATATTTTGTGGCTTAAGTCCGTAAGTTGTAACGGATTTGAATGAAAATTTTATACCTAATACAAAAAGACATTTTGAAACTATATCTAAAATTTGAAAAAATTCTAATTATGCACTCAATACTTACAACTATTTTTTGTAAAATAGGTGTCCCATAAATATACATCCACTTTTCAAAAAAAGTTATTTTCGATTAAAGGAAAAATCCAGAAAAATTCCAGTAAACTTATATTTCGATATTATAAAAAAGTAAAAAGAAAGTAGGTCAATATCTTAACCCGAAGCCGAGATCCTGAGACCTCGAAAATCAACGTAAAACAGGGGTTTTCAAATTTAAAAAATATTTTCGACCCCTTGTGGTTGTTTTTAAATTCTCATTTTAGGCTCATTCGAAAGCCCTTAAAATTTACTATAAGATAAATTTGATCTAGTATTTGAGAAAAAATTTGATAGACAGATGTAGGTCGTTAATTTCCCGACGCTAATTTTATGGGGCATTTAGGCGCTTTTTTCTGCATAAAAAGTTTAAATGCCTGCTTCTCTCATTAAAAATTTTTCTGGAAAATAAGATTGTTGCTATTTTGTAGCAAATTTCAAGGGCTTTCGAATGAGCCCAAAATCAAAATTTACAGTAATCCATAAGGGGTCGAAAATATTTTTTAAATTTGAAAACCCCTGTTTTACGTTGATTTTCGAGGTCTCAGGATCTCGGCTTCGGGTTAAGATATTGACCTACTTTCTTTTTACTTTTTTATAATATCAATGTATAAGTTTACTGGAATTTTTGTAGATTTTTCCTATAATCGGAAATAACTTTTTTGGGATGTGGATGTATATTTATGGGACACCTATTTTACAGATAAATAGTTGTAAATATTGAGTGCATAATTAGAATTTTTTCAAATTTTATATATACTTTCAAAATGTCTTTCTGCATTATGTATTAAATTTTCATTCAAATCCGTTGACAACTTACGGACTTAAGCCACAAAATATAGGTGGATGTATATTTTTGGGACAGAGTGTATTAAACTTTTTGTGCTTAAATTCAAACGAAGTGATCTCCTAAACTATTTATCTGAACCCCTTTTTATTAATCATTTTTTTGCTTTCAGAAGAGAGCGAAAAAGGACCAGATCACGTTCTCCACGTGATCGTGACAGAGACCGTGAACGTGATCGAGAACGTTATCGTCCTGAGCGTGAACGGACTCCTGAACGTGAAAGACGTCCGCCACTTAAATACAAATATTGGGACGTCCCACCTTCTGGCTATGAACATATGTCACCAAAGGAATATAAGGAACTTCAAGGTATTTAAAAATAAAAATTTTTGGGTTAGTTAAAATTTCCCAAAGATTTCCTTTTAGTTTTGGCGTTGTCAATATGGTGTGTCAGCACACACAACGAATGGCGCAAACCCCAAACATGTTTCGGTCCCACAAGTTCAAAGGGCCGCGATCTTTTTTAAATTCTTTTTTCAGCATATTTTCTTTTTTTCAGCATTTTCAGCTTTTCTAGTTCCGATGAGATGACGTTTATCAATTAAAATATTTTTTAGGGTTTTTAGGTTGCAAAATAATCTCCAAGAGAAATTGGTCTTTTCTTCTCTTTTTTAGATTTTTTAGCAAAATACAAAATTTGTTTGCGCGTTTCTAAGTTCAGCCATTTAGGCTTTTTCAAGTTTTTTTGCTTTTTTAGCGACAGGAGTGATTCCCCGACAAACTGTGCAGTCAGCAGTGCCGGTTGTTGGTCCATCGGTGACTTGCCAAGCTAGGCGTCTTTATGTGGGTAATATACCTTTTGGTTCAAACGAGGATACAATGCTCGACTTTTTCAACCAACAAGTTTGTTTGTTTTTAAAACTAGTCTCTTTTAGGGGCTATGGTCATTCTTGTGTCATTTAACGCTCTCCTGAGAGAGTTTGATTTATTCTATTAGGCCTCGACTCTAGCTGTATATAGGAAATGGTTTAGGCTCTGATTGTCTCTGCTAGTCTTGGTCTAGTCCCATCTTGACCTCTAAATTTTTTGTTTTTAAAAAAAATTTTGTAGATGCATTTGTGTGGCCTGGCTCAGGCCCCAGGAAATCCTGTAATTGCTTGTCAAATAAATTTGGACAAAAATTTTGCTTTCATTGAATTTCGTTCTATCGATGAAACAACTGCTGGAATGGCATTTGACGGTGTCAATTTTATGGGCCAACAGCTTAAAATCCGTCGTCCACGTGATTATGTAGCACCAGCAAACAATTATGAAATGTTGGGATCTTTACCAGGTTTTTTTTATTTAATTCAAAAATATTTTTAAATCTTTTTATTTTAGTCTCTGCTGTCGTCGTGGATAGCCCTTACAAATTATTTATTGGAGGTCTTCCTAATCATTTAACTTCTGACCAAGTGAAAGAATTGTTGAGTGCTTTTGGGCAATTAAAAGCTTTTAATTTGGTTATGGATTCGGTTACAGGATTTTCTAAGGGTTATGCATTTTGTGAATATTTGGATAGCACACTGACTGATCAAGTATTTTTTTATTTTCGTTAAAATGGACTAATTAAATAAATTTAGGCAATAGTTGGCCTGAATGGAATGCAATTGGGGGACAACCGTCTTTTAGTTCAACTTGCATCGACTGGGTGTAAAACAGTTGTTCCTACCCCTGGAATTCCATCAAATCCAATAGCTTTAGCTGGAATTGATCTTTCAAAAGGAGCTGGTCCTCCAACTGAGGTTTTGTGTTTAATGAATTTGGTTGTCGAGGAAGAACTGCAAAAAGATGATGAATACGAAGGTTTTTATTTAAATTTTTTGATAAAATTATTTAAATATTTAGAAATTTTGGAAGACATTCGAGATGAATGTAACAAATATGGAAATGTTATTAGCCTGGAAATACCTCGTCCGGGATATGAAGAACGTGGCGTTGGAAAGGTATATTCTACTAATTAAATTTTACTTGAGGTGTTAATTCGTTGTGCTTATCCGTAGTCGGGGCTTTGGACTAAAACATTTAGATGATTAGGCGTTTTATAGTTGTTTTCTTTTCCCACATGCATAAAACATAAAAATCCCTTAGCGAGTTAAATTTAAATCTGGGCAATCCGAGTTTTTTCTTCATGTTTTAGAAAAAGATTCCAACTAAACTTTTTGTTGTTTTTCTCAAATAACATTGAAAGTAAAATTTTGTTTTAAGGTCTTCGTTGAGTTCCAATCAAAAGAAGAATGTCAAAAAGCACAGGCGGCATTAACTGGACGCAAATTTTCCAACCGCGTTGTTGTAAGTTTATTTAAATTAATTATCAATTTTATTTTTATATTTAGGTAACCAGTTACTACGATCCGGACCTTTATCATAGACGACAATTTTGAAGTGGATTTGGGGTTTTAAACATTTGCATTGCAGCAACCAATTTAAAAGAATATACAAATTGATATTTTGATTTAAATAAAGTTTTTTGGTTATTACAACTTTTAGATTATAACAATTTTGTGAACCATTACTCTCGAGTCGGGCTAACTCGCGGAACGGACAGTTCACGGAACGACCAAAACACGGAATAATTTAAAAATCTGAATTTCCTGAAAAATCTGAATATTTTTAAAAAATTCTGATTTCTGAGAATATTCTGATTTTTAAAATATTCCGTGTTTTGGTCATTCCGTGAGTTGGTCGTTCCGTGATTTGGAGTTCCCCGTATTAGCCCCCACCCCAATACTCTAAAGTTTAGTCTTCTAGCTGAATTTTATCTTTTAAAAATGGTACAAAAAATAATATTTTAATTTAAATTATTTGTTGACCCTATTTGTACATTGTCAGCAGCTAGAGCTCTAGGTGGTTCTACTAAAAAGATTTTAATATATACTCAATTGGTTGAATCTTACATTTTTCTCTTTGTCCGACAAAAGGTCCAATTACACAATTTTTCAACATAGATTTGTAGTTAACCCATCTATGGAGTTCATTAAATAATTCTGTTGCATCTGATCCAGCGGCTCTCATCAACTGTGGAATTCCTCCAGGATGAAATTCCAAATATCTAGTCACATCGTAGACCTTAAAAAACTGAATTAGGCAAAATTTAAAAAAAAAAGTTTAAGGGTTATGCCCGAAAATTCCCTTAGCGATATTGCAAAATTAATTAGGTTATGGATCTTGAAACAGAAAGAATTTCTAAATATAGTACTTGATCATAGGTCCAAAAAAGTCGGAACAGTTCTCAATTAAGAATAACTAATATTCTACAAATTTATCAAAAAAATCCTTTAATTTTTAAATTAAATTATAATTCAAAATGAATTTTGTCATCCCAAAAAAAAGTCGGCCCCAAAATATAAAATGACCTGAATACCGTGTCGAACAGAAGAATCCAGCAATCATGCTCTGAACAGTGTTTCGAAAGTTCAATGTGATCGACAGACGCAATTTGTGGGTGTGATGTCATACGACCCGCATTGGAAAGTCTTAAAAACACAGAAAATAAAAAAAATAAAATTTCTAAACCTTATCCAATCTAAAAGTCCTCTTCCAGGCTTTAAAGGCACCTTTAATCGTCCCTTTTCCAATTTGACAATGTTTGACTAAAAAACAGATTTACGACAAATATTGTATAAAAATTAATATTTGGTACTTATGAAGATGGAGGTGCCCTTTCTGCGGACTTTTTTTGCGGACTTTTCCTTTCCTTTAAATTTTTCTTTTTTAATGTTTTGGTTGTCTTGCTTGCAGCAAGTTTTGCTTGTAGCAACAAACTGTCAAAGGCTAATTCTTATGCCAATTTGAAAACAATTAATTTAAACATTATAAACGTAAAATTGTTTCAATCAATGAAACATTTTACTTTAACTAAATTCCAAACTCTGTCCCTAAATTCCAAACCTTGTCCCCCCACCCCCAATAATTTTCCTAACCTATATTGTACATAATGGTCAGATTTTCTTCCCTGTGAATATGCAAACAAGACTTGATAAAGACATTTTTACCTTGATAGTTGTATAACCTCCAAATTTAAGGGTCCGTTTTCTATGAATAAGACCAAGCTTTTTAGCCTCGCATCAAAATATTAGTCGTTTAAACGTAGATTTTCCAGAAGATGCTAATATTTGAAATTTTTCAGTTGTTCAATATTTTTAAATATAAATAGGAATGTAATGTTTTTACACAGAAATTTATAATGTTATACACCAAATCAATTTTTTCAATTATTTTTTTGTGTAACATTGTTTTCTAAGGCAAAATATAAGTGTATGACTATAAAATTAATCTTCTCTTTATCAATATGCCTTGTTTGAATATGTCACAGGGCAAATAGAAGGAAGGAGAGGAAGAAGAAAATCTGACCATTATGTACAAGCTTAGGTAAGAAAAATAATAGGGGAGGGCCATTGACAGTTAGTTGCTACAAGTAAAACATTTAAATAAGGGAAGAAAAGTCCGCAAAAAAAGTCCGCAGAAAGGGCACCTCCATCTTCATAAGTACCTAATATTTACCTCTTTACTAGATCCAGGCTGTCCACCAGTTACATTCAACAAATTTTTATCCATTTTAAAAAGAAATGATTTCGGTCTAAGAAAATATTAATTTTTTGTTTTCAGTTAGTTGTTTAGAAATATTTTTTGGAAATAGCCCAAGACTCAACAAAACTAAATGAAAATAAAATGTTTTAAAAGTAGAGAGCGGTGCGGGACGGGATCCCGCGCGGGATTTTGCTGGATCCCGTCCCGCAATCCCGCACTTTTTTCGATTTGCGGGATATTGCGAGATGCGGGATTTATCCCGCGGGATCCCGTCCCGCAAAGATTTTTTTAAAAAATCCCGCATGCGGGATCCTGCAAACTCGATTTTACCGGTCTCTTTTAAAAGCTTTTTTATGACTACTCAAAAAACATAAAAATCAGAACAAAATCGTTAATCTCTATGTGAATTTATTTAATCTAAATTAGTATCAAGTAATTAGTGTCCGGGTCCGGAAACCGGATTTTGAATTTCTTCCGCTTGCATGACAAAATTTTCCGGATTAATCCGGTCCCGTTTTACTTCGGTAAAATAATTTCCAGACTTGGGCTGAATTTGTCCGGATTCCGGACCGAATCTAAATTTTTTCAAGGGTTTCCAAAAAATTTTTAAAAAATATTTTCTGTGATAAAAATCTTTTAACAATTATGAAACTCTAATTTACAATTAATAATCTGTCAATAAATAATAGAAATACAAACAAAAATGAAAGACAATTTTAAAAAATGAAAGCATTAAATTAATATATGAGATTCTTTTAATTTGATTTTTTAAGAGAATAAAGAAAGTTTTTTTTCTTTTCATTCACAATTTAAGAATAAATTGAAGAACAGAAAAATCAGCATTCCAAATGTGTGCCAATAATTGTGAAATACTTGAATTAATACATTTCTCATTTTTTGATTCAATTTGTGGACAAAGAGATTTTTGTGAAGCAATTCCAAAACAAGGAATTCCTCCAAGTGTAGGCCCGTAACATGTGCGCGTTCTGAATTTTGGATAATAAAAAAAGATTTTTTTTAATTTTAATCTCAAATATTATAATCTAATTATCTTGCTTTTCTTTTAGTTTAATTTAATTTACCACAAAGTTCCTCCATCTGTTAGAATGGATTAATCTTTATCCAAATAAGCGTTTCTAAGGAATTCTTAGATTGATTAGCCAATATTTATCCCAATTCTGAGTAGAGATCGTTATCTCGAAAAATCTCAATAACCGAGATTTTTGTTCGATTCATGTCTCGGTCGATCTCTATTTTTTGAGAGGCCATCCATTACTAAAGGAGGTTAGCAAGACTGGGATAAAATGAATTTAGGAGATTTAATACTAATATGTATTTTTGTTGGGTTAATAAAGATTTTTAAATTTTTTTACACCTTGTGCGAATATTAAGTGTTCGTGCCAATTGTGCGTGTGCCAGTGCATTAATTAATGTTATGTTATTTTCTGCAGCTAATTCATCCTCGATTATGTCATCTCCCGTTTCTCCATATCTTCCGAAAAATTGTTGGATAGAATCATTCTTTTCCTCTATATCCAAATCATTTCTTGGGTCAAACCCAATACATCCACTCCATTCACAATTGGATGACCAATCACTCCATTCAGACCAATAGCCGTTTATTGATGGCACTTTAGATTTATTTAATTTTTTGTGGAATTAATTAGGGAAATATGTGTTAAGCTTAACTTTAGTTTATTTTAAGTAAATATCTGAGAGGAAGAGGAACACCCCCTAATTCAAATTCAGGTTAAATAAAACTTTTTAAGAAATCTCTGCCAAATTTTTGCTTCAATTTTAGGTGCTAATATTAGTTATTCTATTATTGTCACGCCAAAACATATTCTTCCCCTAACAATTCTAATTTCTTCAAAATAATTTAATGTTAGAGTGCTAACTTTCACAAGCTCTCCCATTTCCACATTCCATACTTTGGTGTGCTACACCCTCACAATAAAGCCTCTTTTCATTCTCCAACAAAATACATTGCCTATTTCTTCTGCGAAGGGCAAAACCACAACTTTCTGAACTGCAATTTGACCAGGCTGTCCAAGAAGACCATTGTGGAATTAGTGAGGCGGATGAAAGTGAGTTGTTAAAAAGTGAGGTATTATTTAGTGCTGTGAGAATAAAAAATGTGCATAAAATTTATTTTACTCACATAGACCACAAATTGTAGGCTCAGAACATGCTTGTAATTCGAAATCACTGCCTGAACAATTTCTACCACCATTTTTTGGTCTAGGATTTGAGCAATACCTTAAAAATAAAATCTAGCGGTCGAGAAACATTTATAGAAAGTTAACTAGAAGGACATTCATTTATCGAAAAGTGGCAAGTCTATTCTTACAGGAATGTTAAGGGTGGCGAGATTTAATTGACATCTTATTATTTCGACTTCTTCAATTACCTAGCTCTAGAACGTTGTCCATTAATGCAAGGATTAGAACATTGTGACCATTTACTCCAAGCACTCCAATTTCCATCAATTTGGGGACCCTGACATTTTGCTTTGGGAGGATCACAAGGAGTTTGGTCAAAAGAAAAGCCAACACAATAAGCTCCTCTAAAAATTGAAATAAAATTTCAAGAGAATTTTCCAAAAATATATTCACCGGTTTGAAGGTAAGGGATTGGCACACATTCTGTTCCTAACACGATGACCTTTTTGGCCACAATCTTGCGAGCATTGAGACCATTCTGACCAAGAAGACCATCCTCCAACTATAGCAGCACACTGCATAGGGTCATCGTTATTTGAAAGTGTACATGGGCGTTGCTCTATTATTGAACCGGGACAGAAACCCTAAAAAGGAAATTGAAAAGTATTTAGAATATTCATTAGAAAGTTGCTCAGTTCTCTATAGAAAGTTAAATGACAGAAGCTCCCCTGTTTGGGAAAAGGAGAGACTTCTCTACTCTTAGAGAACGGAAACCTTAGTTTTGAGTAATTTTTATTTTATTAACCTTAAGTTGTGGGTCATGTATTCTACAGAAACGCCGTCTGTAACTTGTTAAAGAGAAGCAAGAACAAGCAGACCAATCACTCCAGTCTGACCAAATTGGATAGAGAATTTGTCTTTTTTGAAGGACTAAATCTTCCTCTTTAGTACATTCAGGAGGTTTAGGTTCACAATCTCTTTCTTCACGTGAAACATCCTCGTCACAGAGGAATACTAAATTATATTTACATTTGCGTGTTCTACTTTGACGTCCATTATATCCGCAACTGACAGAACAGGCACTCCATTCACCCCAGTCAGTCCAATGACGATTTTCAAGAGGAGAGGCTTAAAAATTCTTTTAGAAAAATATTTTTTCGAAAAAATATTTTTAAAATGGGTACAAAAAATATTTCGATTTAATCATAACACACTTTAAAATTTAATTAGCTGGAGATTTAGGGAAAAAATTGGGTGGCTATATACTTTTGGAACGGAGTGTATATTAAATTCCTCAATTTAAGAAGTTTTCTAAAATTTGGTTGTTCATTGGGTAACAACAATTTAAGATACACATTATATGATACGATTTTTTCGGACCAAAAGATTTATCTCATAGTGAGATATACAAAATTTCATAGATTATATAGGCTTCTATGTATGTCTATTCTAGGTAAAATCGTATACCCAAAGCTTTATTAACGCACAAAACTTTCTCTCTTTTAATTCTCCCTTACTTGTTTGAGAGAATCTTCTTTCAACTTTTTGATCATCATCTAGTGTCCCATTAATCAACCCTCCTTCACGAATACAGGAACGTTCACAAGTATCAAATTCGATTGGGGCACCTTTAAAAACAAACAGGAGAATATAAAATAATTTAACACTAAATTACCATTACAAGCTTCATTCCCTAATTCCCTTTCACCCCAATCCTCATTTTCTTCAGTCTTTGCTACTTGAACAACACACTTTCTATGCCTTTTCCGTGTTTCAAAAACACTACAAGTTGAACAAAAAGTCCAAGAAGACCAATTTGTCCACTATAAATTTAATTAGAAAATTAATTTTTTTATTTTGCCTGAGGGCACGGTCCAAGAACACAGCGTTTACTTTCAGTTAGAGGCTCTTTATTGGGACAAATGCCGTTCAAACAGCGACGGTAGCGTTGTTGTAATCCTTGCCCACAAGAATGGGAACAGGCAGACCAAAGAGACCAATCACTCCAAACAGGAGCATTCAAAACACGAGAACAATCCTTGTTTTAAAATAAATATTTTTAGAACATAATTGAAGAGGCGAAAAATAATTATCTACCTGTGCATGACATGTTCTAGCTTGTTTTCCCCCTCCAGGACAAGGTTTGTCCCCACATAAACGTTCTCTAAATTGAAAACCAATTCCACAACTAACAGAACATGGATGCCACTAAAAGAAGTAAAGCTTTAGAGAATCAAAAATTCCTTTCAATTACTTTCCCCCATTGTCCATCAACAGAAGCTTCTCCTCCTTTAATTGGACAGTCTAAACTTGTAAGGCTGTTTATGTCGCTAATACAAGTTTCGTTCTGAAAAGATTCGCCAGCACATCCCATTGAGGAATTTCCTTTATAATCTATAATATAACGTAAATTAATTCAATCTAGGGGAAATAAGGGGAAAGGGGGGAACATTATCACTCAAAGTCTACTCGAATATTAAAATTATTTTCATTCAATTTGATAAACCCTTTTAATAAAAATTAAGAAAAACACCTTCGACCGAACAATTTCTTTGCCTCATTCTTTGTCCTTGTTCTCCACATTTTTCAACTTTACAATCTCCCCATAGTCCCCACTCTTCCCAATGAGCACATTCTTTTTGTTTACACTTCTCTTCTTCATTTAAAGGCTCTATGCAATGGCCAGATTGACACTCGCGTGTTCTCCTTCGAATGCCGTTTTGTCCACATTCTGCAACCGAGCAGTTTGACCATTCTAAAAAAGATTTAATAAATGAAAAGTTAAGATGCCGTTATAGTCAATTATGGATGGTTTTCATATTAGTCAAATACGAATATCTGTATAATTGAGAATTGAGAGATACCCTCTGAACTGACAAATCTATTAGTTATCTCGTTCCTCTCTCACTATAAAAACCAAAAGGTTTGCCGTTGTTAATCACAATCTCCAATCATCAACTGACGTCACTCGCTCGCTTATCCGGACTTTTGCCTGCAGGTACTCTACTGCTGCTCGTTCTCTACAAAAACTTCTTAAATTTATAGGGATGGTTCTCGTCGCAATTAAAGTCAGAAGGATGGATGTGGAACAGGACAACGTGATCTCCATCGACGATCAGGCAAGTTAATTTCAATACTTTTTGTCCAAAAAACATTCTTAGTTTTAGGCAACTATTGCAATGATGCGGAGCGCAATCCAGGAGCAGATGGCCATTCCGAGCGGCGAACAAAGGCTCATTCTTCGAGGAAGGCGTCTAAACGACGACACTCAGACAATCCAAGGCGCCGGCCTCAAAGATCACGATGTTCTACATGTAATACATCAAGTGCCACAGCCTGTTGAAGCTTCGACAACAACACAACTAGATCGTCAACGACTTGCTGCAGCAAATAATGGATTCCAAGTGCGATTCCACATGCAAATAATTCCGGATCTATCTGAACAAGCTGAAGGGCAGCAACAGCAGCAAAGAAGAAGTGAAGTACGGCAACAGGGAACACATTCCCAGAGAAGGGGAAATGGGCAGCGGCGAGAGGAAACTCCTCCACAGAGAGAAGGAAGTAGGCAACAAATGGGGGCTGAACAACAGACGCAGCCAGAAGTGATTGAACGTCAGGGAACTGCGAATACGAGTACTGAAATAATTTCTGAAGCATTGGCCGCGATGTTAGTTGGGACAATATTCCGTTCCCTGTGTAAGAAAACTTGACTAAGATAATTTTTTAAATTTATTTATTTTCAGTAACAATCCTACAGCGCCTTAATGAGGAAGAAGAACCTTCCACAGCCAGAGAGATTGGAACGACGACTAGCGCTACTCAACTGGAAACCTCTGCTGGAACATCTAACGAATCGGTTGCCTCTTCAGGAACTTCTAATGGAACGGGAACTTCTACGATAACTTCTAACGAATCAGTAAACTCTTCGGGAAACTCCAACGCAACCGGGACCTCTGCGGGAACTTCTAATGTATCGGTTACTTCTGTGGGAACATCTAACGAATCGGTTGCTTCTAACAACAGAGAGGGAATTTAATCTGAAGTGCAGAAAAGAATGAAGCAAAGGATGATAAATGTGTAGACTCATAGATAAACATTTCTGTATAATATTTGACCTAATCAAGTTTATTGTATCATGTCCTTGTTGTATTATAAAATTTTTACTTTTCTTCTTGTCTTTAAGGATTTAGAGGGTTTTAGGGGACTTAGAGGCAAAGAATTTAGATTTTACCACCTGACCAATCGGAGTAAGATGGCTGAGGTTTACAAATGGGGGGAGATGGGTTGCATGAACGAACTTCGAGTGATTTTCCTATACATTCCTTTAAATATTTTTATTAAAAATTATTGTCCGAAATTCGCCTTTTACCGTTTGTGTTGGGGAACGACATTTTCTACTCCGTTCTTGCACACCATTATTATTCTCAGAAATTCTACATGTCAAAGAGCAAATAGACCATTGCCCCCATTGTTCCCATTTAACTGATTCCCTTTTGCGTTCAACCGTTTTGTGTTCATTCGATGATAATCTAAGAAGTGATTCTTCATCAGGACAATCTTCGGCGCCTTGAACAAGTCCATGGCCATCACAATTTAACTTCAAAATTTTTTTACTAAAAGTATTATTTATCAAAAACTACTTGAAGGCAAACACCCCCAACACAGTGCTGGCCAGGACCGCAGGGAGAGCCATTTGGGAATTGGCCTTTATTTCGTATCAATTCAGAATCCCTAACATGACACCAAATTTTGCATGGCTGTGTTGCATCTTAAAAACGAGGGAAGAAATTTTTGTTTTAGAGTGAAGGATTGAATGTTCCTCAAAAGGGACAATTCTGTCAAAAGGCAATGAAAACCTACGCAAAAAGCTAGTTCCGCTAAGTTGTCTGTCAGCTCTTATTTGGTCATGTGCTATAGCTGTACAAAGTCTGTCCCCATATTCCTGTCTAGTAAAGCCTTCACAAATTGTCGATTTGGCAATTCCTCCACAAACAATCCCTCTCACATTAGAGCCTGTACAAGGCTTTCCTCCATTGTTTGGACTACATTTTAGGAAGAATAAAATTTAATTTTAAAACAAAATTCCCTACGCCGGTGCTGTACAAGTTCTCATTTGACTAATTATTGCAATACTTCCAGTAATTTGACATTGAGTAATAGGGCACTGTTTTTCGGAAGATGTCCATTCTGACCAATTTCCATCAGTTACAACAGGATAGGCTCCCATTTCTGAATGCCACTCTCCACAATGACCAGCATGACACCACTGGGAATTTAAAAATAAGTTTTATCAAGTTTTATTCCCCCTAACTTTTTCATTTCCACACCAACTGCCTTCAAGTGCGGGGTGAGCAGTAGAAATAGTAGAACCACTATTTCCGCACCAAAGAATTCGGCAAATATCCTTTTAAAGGAAGGACTGATTAAAACAAATAATTTTTTAATACTTCGAATGAACGCCCATTAGGTATTTCGACTTGAAAGTCACGACCCCAAAAGTAAGAACATTGCTGATCTGCAGTAAAACGTTGACCAGGAAGACGGCCATCACGTAAGTGATCATGACCTTTTTAAAATATTAATGGAATGATTATTCTTTTTTCTTAAAATTTAAAATTTCTTAGACTAATTAATTTTAACACTACGCTCTTTTCTCAAAATTAAACTGTAATGTGGCAATATGTACGATTTTACTTATAGTGGCGATTAGGCAAACTTTTCTTATTGACAAACTGTTAAATTTCCTTTATAAATTCCCTTTTTTCCCCTCTTCTTTTCATATTAATAAGAGAAGAAGAATTTGCTAGTCAGTACAGAAGGAGAGAAAAAAAGAACAGGCAGTTAAGTGTGTTACTTTCTCTTTTCAATGTAGTGGGTGCTTCCCGTTGAAGTAAATGAAAAATTTATATATTTTTAATTCTCTTATTTCCTTCATCTTTGGGACTGTACTTCTCAGGATCATTTCTGTAGTACGTATTCCTTTGCGGAGACGCAAACTGCTTCACAAAGCACCCTCGATGACGAGTTTAGGCGTTGTTCCCTGAGCGTGAAGCTTGTTGGGACGTTGCCAAAATTTTGGATGCCCTGACGTTGAAGACCGTCAGCTGGCCCTTTTGGGTCGGCTATGGGGGCAACGCTCTCTGAGCGTGTGCAAATAAAGGTTTAACCTTGCTTTTTCTTATTTTATAAGTAAAAGTTAAAATGCATACTTGCAATAGATTCGGAGGAATCTCTAAGACAATTTCCTCTGCCACTTTCACTTAAATAATTAAATGTAAATAGGCTAGTTTTTATATATTTTACTCCATCTGCAACAAAAACGCATTAAATTCGCGAACTGAACAACTAAAAATTTTGATTAATGTATTTTAAATTAATTTATATTACCTGCTCCATGTTGTTTTTCCAGCACCATTAACTGCTGACATTAAGCAGCAACTACGTCCACACTGATTTTGAACTCCGTCGTGTACCATACCCATACTAAATAAAATTTTTTTTGGAAGTTACATTGTATATTTTTTTGCCATAAATAAAATTAATTTGTTGGGGTTTTAATTGGCTAAAAACACCGATTTAGAAAAATTTTAAAAATCTAAAGCGACTGACAAGTTTTGTGGCCAACTCTACTGGGAATTAAGTTTACTATACAGTCAGACTTCATCTATAAATAACCCTTGAGGCTGAAAAAAATCGTATCGAAAATTGGAGTTGTATGAGAACCGATTGACTATGTATAAAAAGTGATTTAGAAGAAAACACATACTTATGGCCCATTTCATGTGCTAAAACAAAAGAACGTCCCAAATGTAATCCTTCTACCAAAGAACAAGCTGAAAATAAATAAATTCTACTTCTCAAAATTTACTTATATTTACCAAATAATTCATCACACATCCTTCCAACAGGGGCCACACCAGCAACACTTGATGTTGTATGATAAATATCATATCCAGTAAGTAAAACAGCGTGATCCCAATGTTCGGGATGTGTTAAATCTGTCCCTGGATTGATTCTTGCTTGGTGACGACAAAAAGAATCCAACTAGAAAATTGTTTAGTAAAACCTCTATATTGTGTACTATTTTTTCTTATCGGCTAATTCATTAAATATTAGGTATATAGAGATGTATATTATGGAGGGTCAACAACAGAGGTGGGTCGGAACAGTCAGAGGTGTCGGAAATCGGAAGAGCCAGAATTCGGAACTGGTCCAAAAGTCGGAACTCGGAAATCAAATTTTTTTCGGAAATTAGAAATGGGAAGGAAAAAACGTCTGGAATCGGAATTCCGACCCACGTCTGGTCCACAATAAGTGTCTGAAATATATTTAAAAATAAGATTTACCAGTGTTTGTGCTTGTCCGTTTTTATGAATTTCTGTTGCCAAAGGTGCCTAATCAAAAAAAATTTTTTTTTTGAATTACATAAATGTATTCACTTATAGATACATGAATAATTGAATTAAGGTGAATAAAGTGTATTAATTATTGGGAACTTTTTCTGAATTATTTAGGTAATCTCCTTCCCTTCCAACCAATTGTTTTTCAGATTTTAAAAAACTAATTTTAAATTGAGTATATTTTAGGTGGGGCCTGATTGTACTACATAATTTAGTTGAAAAAACAAACAAACAGGTTGTGTTTTCCACATTTCAAATCTAACAATAACAATATCCAAATTAGGGGAAAGGCTGGGTTGTTGATAAAGAACGTGGACCTTTTTTTAAATAAATTTAAAAAATATTTAATTTAATTTTTAAATTTACATTATTAATTAAAGCTAAAGAGAAATCTGTTAAATGTTGTTCAGGTTCTGTTGTAAATTCTTTTTTAAAATGTTCAAAAAGCATTGAATCTAAGAAAAGACCAATTTCCTTTAAAAGAATTTTTTGAAAATTTTCTTAAAAAGAAAAACCAAAGTAATTGGGTCAAGTTGAGGAAAAATAAAAAGAGAATCAAGTCTTGCGGCTACAGGTAATGTGTAATTGTTGATTGTTGTTTTAACTTTAAAATAATTGGGAAAATAAGAAAATAAAATATTTTAAGCAGCAAATAAAGCAAAGCAAATTTAAAAATTTTTTTGATCGAAAAATTTTTTGTTGAAAATTTCTCTTATCAGGAGGAAGGTATATTCTTGATTGATATCTCAAAAGTAAATATTTCTAAACATTTTAGTTTAGGGGTGGATGGCAGATCGGAATATCCAAAAAATGTAAATGGACTAATAGCCATAAAAAATCACGTATATGCTCGAATAATTACACTGGGTAATTATTGTTTTGTAAGGATGATTCACCTTGAGCATTTAAAACGGTTAGGCGGGGATTAAACGATTAAAAGGATAAAAGAGAAAGCATTAGTCATCGCTCCAGTAGCTCAGTGGTGAAGCTACTATAAGCGGTGAGCTCCCGCTAAAGGGGATAATTAAACGGAAGCAATTACAAGAGAGGGTAATTATTCTAAGATATACGTTATGAGTCAGTGTTAAAATTATAACTTAAAGTAAAGTGTTTGGCAAAACTAGAAACATTTCTTTCTATTTAACGAATATTTTTTAAACAAATTTCCAGCACCTGTTTTAGTTAATTCAGAAAAACGAGGAAGAAAATAATTATTTTCTGGAAGCATTAGAAGATTATTTTTAGAAGAAGCTAAAGCAATATTTTCAAAATTTGAAGAAGAAATAATGTCAGAAGTTGGAGAAGGGTCATCAGCAGCTTTAAATAATAACTCACTATTTTTTATATCAACATCACAAAAAGATTCTTCTTCTTTTATTATTGTTTGTTGTTGTTGGTCAATTTCTTCTTCTTTTGCTTCTTTCTTTAAAAGAAAATTTGAAAAAAATTTAAAAGGCTAGAAAATGTTAGCCTTTTTTGGCTATAACTTTTAAAATATAAGACTAAAAATTCTGAAATTTTTAGAGAGGATAGAAAAGATTATTGTGATTGTCTGTATGAAATTTGAAAATTTAAGGTTTTGTAAGTATTAAATTATCATTAATCAACCAAAAGTTTTCCTATACTAAAATATTATTAAATATTTTTTCTACTAACCAAACTTCTTGTTTTTCTTTTCCAATCATTTTTAGTAAATTCTGTTTTGGTTAATTTCTCTTTAAGATAAAAAGATGGTTGAAAATGTTCATTAAAATTAATTAAAGCTGGATTTCTTTTGAAAATTAAATAATGAGGTTTTCCCTGAAAAAAGGAAGGAAGTTAATTTTAAATATTAAAATAAAAAATTTTTTAATTTCTAAAGTATTTTTTAAAAATTTTTATTGGTTTTTAAAGATTTCCAACTCATTTTGACATCCCTAGATTTAAATTACAACTTATTTTAATTAAATATAAATTAATTATTAATTAAAATTTCTTTTTTCCCTATAAAAAATCATTTTTCTAGCCTCTTTTTCATTTTTCCTTTTAACTCGTTCTGGCAAAGTTTGTAAAACAAGAAAATTCTCTTCGTGAATTATAAGCCCCATTAATCTATTACAATCAGAAATAGCAGCTTTTATATTTCCGTGAGTTAAAACAATTCCGTGAAAATGGCAATTAGTTTTTATATGTGAGGGAAATCCATATTGTTGTTTTGAATCAAAAACAGAAATCTGTGAAAAAAATTTGAAAATTTTAATTTGTGTATTTTTGGGGGTTAATAAAGTATATAGTATGGATTAATCTACACTTCTTTAATAAATATTTCTAAAGCCTGAGATGTCTTGGAGCTTAGGATGATTAAAGTCTATTTAATAACTCAAAAAAGATGTCTGGTAGAAAGGGTGTATTAAATAGGCCTGACTAAACAAGCTAGATTTAAAGATTATCTTGGGTAGCTCCCATCAACCATTGGTTAACCAAATCTTGAAAAACAAATCTTAAGTTGAGGAGTCTTTAATTTTAGGGATATCTAAGAAATAAATAGAATGTATTTCATTAAATAGCCCAAAAAATCACTCAAATATCATTTTCAAAAATACCCACCAAATGTTATTTGTTTAATAATAATATTTTAAATTATTTATTCAAATTTACTATTTACTCACCATATGAGGACTAATTAATTTATTAGGTATTAATTGAATTAAATAAGAAGAATTAAATGCTTTAAAGTGTAAATGCCTCAAATTATTATTTTTATTTTCAATTCTTTTAAAAAAATCGAGTAAATGGTAATCTGGCACATGTTCGTGTTTACTCACTCCAAAAGTTTGTTGCAATTCAGAAATACTCATTTCACGGTGAATTGCCTGGAAATTTTTTAATATTATACTGTATATTATTTGAGAGAGATTTAATACATATCTTTATTTAACTAAAAAAAGACTTTTGGAACCTAAGGACTTATAACTTTTGTCAAAAGAAAAATTGAAGGGATATTTTGTTCGAATAAAAAATTCAGGTTTTAATGTTAATTTATCAAGTCGAAAAATTTTAATTTTTTGGTATAAGGGTTCTAAAATAATTTATTAACAAAAACCCAAACTTTTTTTGAAATTTTATAGAAAAAAGACAAAAAAATATTTTATAAAAAATGTGTTATTTGTGGGCACTCTCCCAAAAATTCCTAATGTCCAAACAATCCCACACGTTTTAATTTTATTTTTAAAATATACACATTTTCTTACATTTGTAAATAAAATTTGTAAAAATAAAGTTAATTTAATAAGAAAAAGTGAAAGGCGTTGTTGCTTCATTGCAATCACGCCAAACAATAAAAATAATTTTTGTTGGAATTAAATTTGTTGTAAATTAAATGAAAATTTAATCCGATTATTAATTGCATTTTTCTAGAAAAAATATTTTTTTATCATTTTTCAACAGTGGATTTGATGTATTTATGGATTAAAAAACTAATTATACAATCATATAAAGGATATGGAATTTCTAGAATTAGTAGCCGTTCTCAGTTTAAAAATGTTCAACCTCCCTTCCCTTCACCCTTCCCAAAGCGAGTGCCTGAGGTGTCCGTGAGACTTCGGGATGAAATTTGGTAGACAGGTAGCCCCCAGGCTACCCCAGGCACTCTGATTTGTTAGTATTTTCTCCCTCGTTAAATTAGCCTTAATTATGTAATTAATTTTGTCTCTCTCCCTAAATATCTCCCCAATAATTTGCAAATTTTCAGTTAATTTCCATAAACATTCAATGGAAATTTTAATTTTAAATTTAAAATTTTAAAATCAAAAAACAATTACTCAACAATTCTTTCCCTTAATTTTATTAATTCTTTAATTAAATTCCCTTCTAATCCTTTTACAATAAAATTAGAAATAATCTTTAATATGATCAATGGACAAAAAAAGAAATGATTGCGTGTTTGTTAAAGCATTGTGTTTTTGTTTTTTTTGGTTTTTATCCGCCATCAAAAAAATTATTTTTTTTAGAAAAAGGAACGCCCGTTATCGCGCAACCACAAAAGGGGGGGGGGGGAAGAAAGATTATTTTAGCTTCTTTTTTAGTTAAATAGCTAATGGTTCGATTAAAAAACCCCCAAAACCAGTTATTTAATATTTTTATTTAACCAAAAAAATTATTTTTCTTTATCTTCCCAGGTTTGCGCAAGCAAAAGAAGATTTTTTATTCCAAAGATTTTTGTAGAAATTGGTGAAGATTTTTGGGGAAATAAATAGCCTTGGCAAGAAAAGGAAGTGTCATTTTTCATAGAAAATTATTAAAAAATAATCAGGATTTTTTAAAAGAAAAATAAAATGAGAGAGAAATAAAATAAATATTTGTCCCAAAGATTGGTGAAATTTCGAGAAAATTAAAGAAAATAAAATTAAAAACTTGGAGGACTGAGGAGATCTTTGAAAATACTGGAAAATGAGATGACTAGGCTTTGATTAACTAATTCTCTGAATAGACACTGTTCGTTATAAACGACTTTTATTTTATTACCAGTCGCTTATATTGAGATTTCAATTTGTTATTTAAGTTTATAAATTAAAAGGGAAGGGAAAAATAAATAAAGGCTACTATATAAAAATTATTTAGTTTTGATATCCAAAATTTATTTAACTTGTTGATTCTGAGGTTCTTTTTTGGAGGCTAATTCCCCAAAAAATAAATCAATGTTAAAAGGATCTAAAAAAAGGATTTTTGTTTTAATGACATTTAAAAACTAAAAAAAAAATTTTTTGATGAACATAAAAGAATGGAAGGGGGAGGGGGGAAGGGGATATTTTGTGAATATTTGTGGAGACTGTTCAAAGATTGGACGGCGATGGACATTTCAAGTATAAATAGACACATACTTAAGCCGAAAATATAAGTGGATATATTTGGTTAGAAATTAAAAATAAATAGTAAAAGGAATGAAAATAAATAAGAATTAATTCACGTTTTTATTTGTATAAAAATAAATCCAGGCCGAAAAGTGGAGAAAAAGAATAATGAAAAAAGTTGCTATTTTTAATGGAAGAAAGAAGGGAGGGGGAAGGAGTAGATAACAAATAAAAGAAAATATTAGTAAATGGATATCTAAATATAAATTGAAAATTTAGTGAAGCTGAAATTAAAGTTAATTTGAAATAGGCGGATTCTCTCTCGGACAGGTGGACTGCCAACTGGACATTTGCCATGCAAATTTTGTAAATAAATTGTAAAATGTTTAGAAAAATTAAAATAATTTTTAATTAGGGATGTGGCCATTTTTACTATCAATTTTTTGTTAAATATGAATTTCTGGTAGTTTTTATTCAAATTTTTTCCAAAAATAATGTTAATAATTAAATATTTAAATGAGAGAAATTGGCAGTAATTAAAAATTAGATTTAGTTATACTCTATAAATGATTATTATTTATTTTTTATTTACGTCAAAATGACGTACAAGGTCAAAAAAATAAATTAACTAAATAATAATACTAGAATATGAGTCATTATTAAATATGTACAGGGTGACCCAAAAGAAACCGGGCACGCTATTTTTGGCATAACTTTATTTAAATTAAAGATAATGAGATCAAATAAAGATGAAATTATAGAGAATTAAATGGAGAATAAGATATAAAAATCTTTTAGAATTATTCCTATTCTACTTTGAGATAAGGTTAAAGGAAAGTGAGAAAAATTATTGCTCCAGGTCGCACCTTTTTTTGAGGCATTTTGCCTATAACATTAGAACAGATTGGAGGAAAACACACACACATATTTGATTGCGCGTAACCCTCCCAAAATGAGAAAATCGCATTCCCCCCAAAACTGATTTACATCTACTCAGAGCCATCCATGTAGGAGTTTGGATTTTCATCTTTCAGATTTGTCCGGTTCGCTAATGATCTGAATTAAATTCTGCTGAGATCATCCCGTTTGGACTTCTCCTTTCTGAGATACAGAAAATAAAATTTTGGGGGGAAAATTTTTATATGGTGTACCTAAAATTACGTAACTTTCTTGATCCTTAATCAAAAAATCTATAATTTTACAATATGATAGAGAAATGAATGAGCTACAAAATAAACTTGGAATTATCTAAAAATGATATGAACAAAAAAAGTTATAAAGGATATAAAAGTGCCCGGTTTCTTTTGGGTCACCCTGTATATGGATAAGGAAAAATATTTAAGAAATGGGGGGGGGGGGGGGGGAGTTTTAATTGTTTATGAGTAGGGTTATCGGTTTCAACCCGAACCGAAAAACCGAAGATTTCCGGTTATGTTTGTGGTTCGGTTTCGGTTAACCGAAGGATTTGGTGAAACCGATAACCCTATTTATAAGTAATATTGTTGGGAAAAAAATAAAATTAAAATGTTAAATATTTTTAATAATAAATTTTTTAAAAAATCTCAAAAAAAAATCCGGATTTTTGGCAATAGTAAATAAATAAATCCAGATTTTATTTTTTAAAATAAACTTGAAAAAGGAAAAAAAGTTTTTAGCAAAGCTAAATTTGAAAACAATAAATAATCGTCTGCCGATTTGCAAATAATTTTCCTATCCAGTCAAGCGAATATAAAAATAACGATTCACTTTCGCCGGTTATTTGCATTTGAATTGGAGGGAAGGCGTGAAAGTGAAACTGACCAGCAGGGAATTAAAAATAAATAAAAATATTTATTTTTATATCCACACGCTAAAAATGAAAGAGAAAAGAAGATTTTTGTTTTATTTTTAAAAAAATTCTTGTGGTGAAAGAATGGAGGGGAAAATTAAAAAATAATAATTCTTCTCCAGGGTCATCTGTCAGTTAAGGGAATGGAGGAGGGGGGGGGGGGGGGAGGGAGTTATTACAAATAAAAATACCGCTTTTGGCGTCAACCGGTCAGTATTGGCTAATTTTTTTGTTAAAAAAGGGAAAGGAAAAAAATAAATTAAAAAGGAGGAAAATAATTTAATTAAAAATAATAATTAAAAATTAATTTTTAAAAATTCTTTGTTGATTACCGGTAAATGGTGGCTAAAAAATATTTGAAATTAATTAATATAAATTTAACAGACAATATTCCAGACAACTAATTTAACATGTATTTTATCATTATATGTATGTATATTAGAATATTTTCCAGTCTTTAAGGGGGAAAAGTTATGAAAAAATATAACATATTTAAAAATTCTTTCATTTAAAACCCTTCTTGGCATAAAAAACAAAAAAACAAAATCAGAAATTCCTTCCCAAAACTTTCTCATTTTCTCCTCATTCATCCAATTTTACAAAATTAATTATCCATTTTTTAAATCAAACAAAAAATAAAATTATCCAATAAATTATTCAAAAAATTAATCTCTTCCAATAAAATATTCAGAAAAATAAAAGCTTTCCCTTTTTGTTAAGAATTTATATAAAAATAAATAAAAGGTGAGAGCGATCGTGCGGAATGAAAACTGAACGGGGGAGGATTTTATTTATTTTTTTATAAAAAATACAAAAAAAGAAATGCTTTAAATCCCTTTTAATTTCTTCTCCGATTTTTTGTAAAGTTAATTTTCATTATTTAATTCTCCAATAAATAAATTTTTATTATTTTTTAATTACGCTTTTTTTGTTTCTCCTGTTTTATATAAAATTTAATAAAATGTTAAAAAAGGATTTTTTGAATTGAGGAGAATAATATTTAGATTTAAAAAATGGATTATTGAACAGTTAGTTTTATTTTTGAAAAAATCAAAAGCTTTAACTTGCAAAAATTTTAAAAAAAGAAAAATTTTAAGAGCCTATTATAAACATGAAATTATACTATAGAGATTAAACAATAAAAAACAATAAATTCAAAGACTAAACTGATATACATATA